GTGATTTAAAGAATATTGATATTATATTGATAGTGGTAAAAAGTACAGATAAAAGACTTTTTTGCCCTTGTCAGTGTATTAGTGTAAAAAATAGTGACAATTGTGTAATTATAATGAAAAAGTAGATGTAGTTTTATAGTGATATGGTTATTTATAAAAATGAGACTATTATTTTGGCACGGACAAAAATGGTAAACAAAACTATTGTAGTGAGGCGGAGGAAGTATATAATTTTCTATAAAAATTCATTATTAAAAAATAATTAAAAACTAAAAAATAATTTATTATAAATTTTAAAGTAATTTATAAATTTTCTCCATAATTGGGATATCGTATGTTAGTGGTAATAAAAATAATCATCAAAATTATAAAATGAAACGTGGAAAGAAAAAAGTTACTCTTCCGTCCCACATAATTTGTCCCTATTTTTTATTTTTTATCTGTTTCACATAATTTGTTCCTATTTTCTATTTTTGTCCGTCCCACGTTATTTGTCCTTTCCTTTTTTGAAAAATTAATTATATACTTTAATCATATTTTAAAATTTAAAATTTAATTTTTTTTAATCTTAATTAAACTATTTAGCTATCTTAATCTTAATTTATAATTATTTTTACTAATATATTTCTTAATTGCTTATTAATTATACTTTACCTAAATTCCCGTGTCTACAGTAATAGACCCATATTACATGGGACGGAGGGAGTAAAAGATAATTTTAATAAATAAACTTTAAATTTATTTATTTTTTTTCATTTTTTTAATTTTTTTTAAAACTTATTGTTAATTTTATTTGCATTTTTTTATTTTTTTTATTTAGTCCAATTTAAAAAATAAAATTTTAAAAAATAAAAAAAAATAAAATAAATCTACGTGTCCGCCCGGTGTCGCTGATCTGATGGACACGTCACATCCGGCGAGCCACGCGGACATCTCCAGTGCCGGAGGACTAAAACAACGAAAATTTTCCACTCATGTGATTAATTTGCGATAGGCTAGACTAAAATGATAAGAAAGTCCAATTACGGGACAAAAAAAACAGTTTACCTATAAAATTAGACTCATCAAACAATTTTTGAAAGAAAAAACAATTAATTATACAAAAAGTCGTTATAATATTAATATCCCATATATATTAGTTAATGTAATAATATATATTAAGTGGTGCGATCCATCAAATAATTTTTTAGAAAAATTATAAAAAAAAAAAAAAAAAGCCACGCAAAACGTTAAATATATATATATGATACGATATGATATCATGACGATTAAAATTACAAAAGAAGTATATATATATATATATATTTATAAAAAATAATTGAACAGAAGATTTGGACACTAATCAATCCACTTTATTTATTTATTATTTTTTTAAATATAATTATCATATCTTGTCGGCAAAGCACAAGTGTAGTACACAAAAATGAACGTAAAATTAAAGCATCGGATATACTTCTTCCGCCCCGGAACTATAGAGTGAGTTGTGTTTGGGATGAGATTTAAAAAATATTGATAGTGGGTAAAAAGTACGGATAAAATTTTTTTTTTATTTTTGTGAATGTATTAGTGTAAAAAATAGTACGAATTGTATAATAATAATGAAAAAGTAATAGTAATTTTATGATTATTTATGAAAATGAAACTATTATTTTGAGACGGATAAAAATAATATATAAAATTATTGTATTGAGACGGAGAGAGTAAAAATATGGTTCTATTGCCCAAGACCCACAAATATTTTTAAATATTGTAATAAATTTAATTAAAGGCAATTAAGTAAATTAATATAAATATAAATATTATAATTCCAATTTTCAAAGTAAATATACTTAGTTATTTACTAACATATTGATCATGTCGTGTCATGTCATCATATATATATAATTTGATTTTAATTTATTTATTAAATATATTTAATTTTATCATAAAATTATAAATTAGTTTTTAGTGATATCACTAAAAAAAAAAGAAAAAAGAAATTAATATATTTGTAACGAAATTCCGTCTTTAAAGTTCACGTAACTAACGTAATTTCATCTCAAATTTCGTCTCTAATATTCACGTAACTAACGTAACTTCATCTCAAATTTCGTCTATAATATCATTAATAATGGAATAAGTGAATTTAGAGATGAAAAAATTTTGTTACAAAAATTATATTTTCTTATAGCTTATTTATGAAATATTTTTTTCTATTTATTATAAATATTTAATTTGATATTATTATTATTATTATTATTATTATTATTATTATTATTATTATTATTATTACTACTTTGAATTAAATAATTTATTCACCATAAACTTATGTAGTAAACATGCCCTAATGTCTAGGATAATAAAAGTATATTGACTAAAATATCCTCAAAAGTGTCGAACTCTTGTAAATGAAGTGTCGAGACATCCTTATTTGAGGGCTTCAACCCGGGTTCGATCTCGAATGGCGCATATGTATGAAAGTAAAAAAAATAAAAAAAATAAAATTGTCCACAAAAGTAAAATTGATATGAAATAAAAATTTAAAATTTGAATAGTTATATGATATAATATATATAAATATTAATATAATATTATGAATATAAAATTAATATTTTAGTATAGCATAAAAAATAAAAATGGGTTTTTAATTTAATATTTTTTTGTAGATTTTTTAGTTTTATGAATTGTAGAAATCTTAGAAACAATTTAAAATAAACCATTACACATACAATTACACATAAAGTTAAATGGTAAAAATATTAAAATTTTTCATACACTTTCACTAACCAATAAAATATTACTACCTTCGTCCGAGTCTAAGGGTCTAATTTTCTTTTTGGATGTTGATCTTTGAAAATTAATTATTATATCAAAACGTAATACAAATTAAGAAAACATTGTAAAAATACTGACATTAGTGTCTTATAATACTAATAGAAGGATATTTATACAACAAATTATACAAGTATAAAGATATTTTTAATGTTAAATACAATACAAAAGATAAATGTGACCCTTAGAGGAGGACGAATGAAGTATTATTTCTAAATTTACATGTCATCAATGTGATGACTAATTACATATATTATCGCCTATAAGTAAGTTGTTCTCTCCGTCCCATAAATAAATATTTATTTATTTTTTGTACGTAATTTTAGAAATATTAGTATTATATTATGATATAGTAAGAATAAAGTAGAAATAACTAAAATAACTTTATTAATATATGCGATATAAAAGTAATGACATTTGTGTAATATATTGTAAGTTGTAAAGGTATTTGTAATGTTAGGTAAATAGTACAATTAATAAAAAATGAAATGAATATTTTGTTATGAGACGGACTAAAATGAAATGAATACTTTGTTTATGGGACGGAGGAAAAATTATCAAGTTATAATTCGTTATATATCTTCTCTCATAAAATAATAATAATAATAATAATAATATATCTAGTCTTATCCATTTGTATATAGTATTATATTTATCTATTTGTTCACTCAGTATTTTTAGATAAATTAATTTTTATGTGTAGTATAAAAAATTATATTGATAATATAAAAAATAATATTTGTGTTGAATGGTTGACTTTTTATAAGTAAATAATAATATATTATATTAATGTGTGTATATTTGAATTTTTTAATAATATTTACGGAGAATTATTTTATTAAGAAAATATTGATTGAACAAACCAATTATTTTTATATTATCGAGATAATTTTTTATATTCACATAAGAAAATATAATTTCAAATCAAAATACTAAACAAGCAAAACCCATATATATTCCGCAACACAAAAATAATTAATGAAATAAGTGGAGTATTATTTTACTCCCTCCGTCCCATGTAATATGGGTGTATTACTGTAAATACATGAATTTAGGTAAAATATAATTAATAAGTAATTAAGAAATGTATTGGTAAAAATAATTATTATTTAGTAAAAATAATTATAAATTAAGATTAAGATAACTAAATAGTTTAATTAAGATTAAAAAAAATTAAATTTTAAATTTTAAAATTTAAAATATGATTAAACTGTATAATTAATTTTTCAAAAAAAAAGATAAATTATGTGGGACGGACAAAAATAGAAAATAAGGACAAATTATGTGGGACGACGAGAGTATAAAATAACAAGTCAAATTCAAACAATAATTTCAATTCATTGCCTTGGAGAGTGAGTATGAGTCATTATGTTCCTTTAGCACTTTAACAATAACGAAATATTTTATTATTAATTATTGAAAAAATAATGAAAGTATTTTGTAGAAAGTAATTTGATATTGTTGGGATGAAATAATTTTTTTATAAATACATTGTCAGATAAAATATTCTCTCCGTCTCATAATAAATTATTTATTTTTTTATTTTATTCTGTCTCGTAACAAAGTATTCATTTTCTTTTTAGTAACTGTATTATCTACCTAACATTACAAATACCCTTAAAATTTATAATATATTACACAAATGTTATAACTTTTATATCACACAATACTGATAAGGTTATTTTAGTCATTTCTACTTTTTTCTACTATATCTTAATATAATACTAATATTTTTGAAACTACGTGCAAAGAATAAATAGATACTTAGTTATGAGACGGAGGAAATAGTATTTTTATTAAAAAAATATATATATTTATTGTTATTGTTGAGAATAAGGTAATATATGAAAGAATAAAACCCAAAAACTAAAAATTGAAAATCAACACTATTCATCAAATTACTATTAAATAAAAGCTCAAATCGAACATTTCATTTCAGATCAATTTTAAACAAATCTTCCCCCCTCCTCAAAACAGATTTTTAAAATAATTATTTTTTTATATTATATTACAAATTTATTTTACATTCAAAACATCACATCAGTATGTATTTATTTCACATAAAACAACTATTCAAATTCAATTTTTTACTATTCATAAACCCATACCCAAAACCCTAAACCCACGAACAAATACACCCTATATAAAGAACATCAATGGTGTATTTCCCACACAACTAAAAAAAACAAACACAAAGATGATGATAGCTCTATTCCATTCCTTTGAGCTTAGCTCATTACTTGTTACAATCACCATTCTTACAATCGCTATACTTTCTTTTCTTCTTTACTCGAGACATGTTCGAAAACCCTATCCCCCGGGTCCGAAAGGCTGGCCCGTGCTCGGCTGCATCGCCATGGCGAGCCGGCTAAGCCATCACGGCCTAGCCAAGTTAGCCGCCCGATACGGTGATATTGTCCACATCCGGATCGGCTTCCTCCATGTGATCTCAATAACTGGCTCGAATCTAGCTCAACAGGTGTGTTAAGTTTTTAAAAGTATAGGGTTTGTTTGCTCGAGGTTTAGTTTTTAAACAACTTATTAGAAATACAAGACAAATGATTCGAAATGTCACGAAATCCCCCGCTCTTTGGATGTATTTTGATTTTGCGTATCAATTTAAATAATAGTTTGAATGTAATATTTTATAGTAAAAATACTACTCTGTTTGTCCGGGCTAATTATGCCATAGTGTTCGGACACGGAGGCTAAAAAATAATACTACATCCGTCCGGCTCTAAGGATTCCATTTACTTTTTATGTGTTGATATTTGAATATTAATTATTATATTAAAACGTAGTACACATTAAGAAAAAATTGCAAAAATATTTTCATTAGTGTCTTATAATACCAATAGAATTATATTTGTACAAAAACTTATACAAATATAAAAGTATTTTTAATGTTAAGTATAATGACGTAAAAGGTAAATGTGATTCTTAGAGGTGGACGGAGTGGATAATATTTTTAATATAAATGTGTGGTAAGTAAAAAATAAAATAAAAGTATTATAAAAAATTTATTAAAAGATTAATAATAAAGTAATATAATAAATAGAAAAAGTAACTGCTCAGTGGTTATTATTTGTTAAAGTATAGATAAAAAATTATGAATTAAATAAAATTGTTTACTATAAATATATTAAGCATAAATTTAGAGAATAATAAAAAAATATGATATAATTATCACGAATGAAAAAAAAAAGTATATTTTATAAGGAATGGTGGAGGCTTTATAAATTCTTTTGAAGTTTGATTTCTTTTCTTTTTTTTTTTTTTTATAACTCCATAATTCCTTATAAAAATGCAATGTTTCATCTTTACAAAATATTAAATTCAAGCTACGTTTAAATTTCTTTCTTTTTCCTTTTTTTTTTTTTATGTTTTGATGTTTTTTGGTATATGCCATCATACATCCTCTTATGTTTACTCTCTCTGTCCGATAAAATATATTTATTTTGCCATTTTTTATTTTCATCGGTTCAAGTTAAAAATATATTTTTTTTATTTTTTATAAATTGTCAAGGTAAAATAAACTTTATGCTGTTCTTACATTTGACAATATAACTTAACAAGGTCCTCCAAGTCCAAGATCACATATTTTCGAACCGGCCAGCCAATACGGCCGTAACCTACTTGACCTACGCCCGATCCGATTTGGCGTTCGCCCATTACAACCCCTATTGGCGACAAATGCGCAAGCTATGCGTAACGAAGCTATTCAGCCCTAGACGAGTCGAGTCGTGGGATTCCATCCGGATCGAAGTCGATGAAATGATCACGGCCGTGGCTTCCAAGGCCGGCGCGGCTGTGAACATCGGTGAGCTCGTGTTCAAGCTCACTCAAAGCATCGTTTACCGCGCTGCTTTCGGGTCGAGCTTGCCGGAGGGCCAAGATGAGTTCATCAAGATCTTGCAGGAGTTTTCGGAGCTATTTGGATCGTTTAATCTTGCGGATTTTTTCCCTGGATTAGGATGGGTCGATCCGCGGGGGATTAAGAGCCGGATGCGCGAGGCTCGGGCTGCGCTCGATCGGTTTATCGACGCGGTTATTGCCGAGCATGAGGTGGGCAAAAAAGTCGAGAGTTGTAGGAGAGATATGGTGGATGAGTTGCTGTCTATTTGGAGTGAAGATGACAAAGTTTTTGAGGATGGAAATGGTTCGAAAAGTTCATTCAAACTAACGAGGAACAACATCAAAGCTGTTATTATGGTAAGGATTTTCCAAAATCTTTGGTGTTTTGGGTTTGAAGTTTCTTTTGATATACAAATTGATTTTTATATTTATTATTTTTAACAAACATAAATATTTGATAGCTGTAAAAGTACATCTTAATATCCTTCTTGACACAAAAATTGAAAAATAATAATATTTTAATATTAAAATAAATTATGTAAAAAGTAAAGTAAAGTTAGAGGATTTTATTAAATGATTGATAAAAAAATAGTTAAGTAGAAAAATAGTATATATTGATTATTATTTGTTAAAGTAAATATTATAAAATTATGAGTGGATAAATTGTTTATTATAAATAAATTGAGCATAAGTTTAACTGAAAGCAAAAATTATATAATTTTGACATACTAAAGAGAGTATAACATAAATGTATACATCATTAATAATAATGTACACAATATATGTCATAATTAATTTATTTTAGCATGTTAATATAGTATAAACTGAGATTATGTGATAATAATTCAAATACTATATTATATATTGTTGTAATTCCAACCGTGCATAGAAGTAATTTGTTCATAAATTAAGACCTAATCAACATTGTAACAATATAACCATATATATTAAATGGTGATTTTTTTAAACTTAAATTTCTTTTAATGAAAGCAAATATTGAATAAAATATAATGAATTCGTGTGATATTATATAAAAAAAAATTATAAAGTAAATAATAAAGCTGTGTTCTTTCTATTTTTTTTTTTTTAAAAAAATAATACATTACACATGTTCATCACTTTTATATTTCTCAGATAATTTTCTATACTTCACAAACAATTTTACAAAACAAACACACTCTTGATAGTGCACAAATAAAATTAAAAACACAGGATGTTATGTTCGGCGGAACGGAGACGGTGGCTTCCGGCATCGAATGGACGCTATCGGAGCTCTTAAGAAATCCGCAACACCTCAAAACGGTACAACAAGAACTCGCCGATGTAGTCGGCCAAGATCGCCAAGTCGAGGAGGCTGACTTCAAGAACCTACCCTATCTCAATTGTTGCATAAAAGAGGCCCTCCGGCTCCACCCCCCGATCCCGATTCTCCTCCACGAGACCGCCGTCGCCGCCACCGTCGACGGCTACCACATCCCCAAAAGATCGCGCGTCATGATCAACGTATGGGCCATTAGCCGCGACGAGAGGGTGTGGGAAGATCCCGAGGAGTTCAAGCCCGAGCGGTTTCTCAAAGACGGGGCGCCGGATTTTAATGGACGGCACTTTGAGTTTATTACATTCGGGTCGGGTCGTAGGTCCTGTCCTGGGATGCAATTAGGGCTTTTTGCCGTGGAGATGGCGGTGGCGCGCCTACTCCACGGATTTTCTTGGGAATTGCCCGATGGAATGTCGCCGGAGAAGATGGATATGGGCGATGTGTTTGGGCTCGCCGCCACTCGCTCCCGCCGCCTCGTGGCGGTGCCGAATCCGCGCCTTTAAAATGTCATCTAGATTATATATTGCTCCCTCAGGCCTAAATCATCTTTACGTTTTATTTAAGTCTGTCCGTCAAATTTATGCTTGTATTATATTCTCTCCCTCCTAAAACAATAGTCTCATTTGCTATTTACGTCTATTCCAAAACAATAGTCTCATTTCCAATAACCAAGCTCCCACATTTTACAAAACTATCTCTATTTTTTTACAATAATTACATAAAGTACGAACATTTTGATATTTTAGAAACACTTTTAGACTAATTATCCCTATTGTTATGGGACGCAGGAGTAGATATCAATATCTTTTTGTAGATATCAATATTTTTTTTCTATCCATTTAAAGATTTTTCATCAACTTTAGACACGGACGGAAGTATCAGGGGCTCTGGGGTTACCCGATCCTCAGCCCCCGAATATATATATATATATTTTTTAGTAAAAAAAATAGTATAATTATGTATTTTTAATAATTTGCTTCCCCCTTATTTCATAGTTTTATTTTTATTCTTATTTATGTATAAAAAGTAATAAATATATATAATTTTATTGAATTTGTTCTTCAATATTTAATATTTTTTAATAAAAAATAATAAAATTTATATAGTTGTCTTAAAACTTTTAGTTTCAAGTACATTATTTTTGTTCGATTTTTTTTTTCTTCTTTATTCCTGTGTACCAAAGAAAATTAATATATATATATATATATATATCGAACCGATAAAAATGAATCTATATTTTACCCCTTCCCAACTTGGAGGCTAGTTCTGGTACTGACTTTAAACGGTTTTTACTACTATTATGTCACATATTATTATCAATTATATATTTTAATTAAAATTTTAAATTGCTCGATTTTTTTTGTACCGAATGAGAAAATGTTACCGAAGTATTTTTAAATATTTTATAAAAATATATATATTTTTTTTTATTTAAAACAGTATTTATAATAACCTAAAATTATAATAACATTAATCAAAACACATGTTACACATCCCTCAAATACCAATGATTCAACTTTTTTGTTTTTTTTTTTTTATTTTAAATAGAGCACCAGAGTCACCCCTCAATAATTGGGTATGTTTCGTCAGTCTTTTCTTTTTCTTTATAATTTTTTTAATAAAATAATTATTAAATAGATTTTTTTGAATAAAAAAATATTGAAAAAATTAAAGAATAAAATAAGAAAAAGAAAAAAGTTAACAAACATGTGAAGACGAATTTCCCCAACAATTCCCACTATATATCACTTTATATATATATATATAAAAAGGCTAAACTGGTTTTTTAGTCTCGTAACTGTACCCTTTAATCATTTTAATCCCGTAAATGGAGCCTGTCGCAAACTAGTCTCATCAGTAAAAAATTTTCGCTGTTTTAATCCTCCGGCGTCGGAGACACCCGCGTGGCTCGCTGAAGGCCACGTGTCAGCCAGGTCAGCGACACCTGGCGGACACGTGGATTTTATTTTATTTTTTTTATAAATTTATTTTTAATTTTATTTTTTTTAATTTTTTTATTTGGTCTAATTATAAAAAAATGAAAAAAATTAAAACAATTAAAAAAAATAAAAACAATAAAATAAAATCCACGTGTCCGCCAGGTGACGCTGACCTAACAGGACACCTGGCGGACACGTGACTTCCGGCGAGCCATGCGGGGGTCTCTGGCGCCGGAATACTAAAACAACGAAAATTTTTCACTTATGGGACTAGTTTGCGACAAGCTCTACTTACGGAACTAAAATGATAAGGGGTCTAGTTACAGGACTAAAAAATTAGTTTACCTATATATATATATATAAATATATAAATATTTCCAATGATGATAATATAATTCACTTGTGTTAACACAGCTTTTATTTAATTTAATTTACGTGCTAAAACAACTTTTGGACCAAAAGATTACACTGAATTTAATGACACGTCCATATGGTTAATAAATTAATTAAATAGATTAATGAGGTTAATGGCTTGAATGAATAAAACAACGTGTTCATTTTATATTTTTAGATGATGCATAATGGTGCTGATAATATTAAAAATATTTTTCTGGGTGAATAAGTATATATTTCATATATACTGTGTTAAAATATATAGTATTATATTTTTTATAATATTTATTAAAAATCGTGATGATATCTAAAAATAAGTTGGGTGAACAAACAGTAATTATTTACTACTCCCTCTATCCCATGTAATATGGGTCTATTACTGTAGACACGAGAATTTAGGTAAAGTAGAATTAGTAAGCAATTAAGAAATGTATTAGTAAAAATAATTATTATTTAGTAAAAATAATTATAAATTAAGATTAAGAGAACTAAATAATTTAATTAAGATTAAAAAAATTTAAATTTTAAATTTTAACATATAATTAAAGTGTATAATTAATTTTTCAAAAAAAGAAAGGACAAATTATGTAGGACGGACGAAAATAGAAAATAGGGACAAATTATGTGGGATAGAGGGAGTATTTTTTTTTTATTTACTCCATTACTTTATTAACTTTTTAATAATTTTACTTTCTCTATCCCGCTATGAAGTATACATATTTTTATTTTGGGACATCCAATTACAAAGTAAATATTTTATTAAATAGCTTACTTTTTTCACAAATACTCTTACTTTACATCACATCATTACTTTTACACCAAAAATCAATGAAAAAAAATGTTATTATACTACTTTTAACTACCCACTATAATTAAAATACTATTATTTATTAAACATCGCACCAAAAAAAGTAAATATTTACTTTCTATGTAGACAGAGGGAGTATATAATAAGATTATTTTACTTTTTATCCATCATATTTTTACATTACCTCTAAGGGTCACATTTACCTTTTGCGTGATTGTACTTAACATTAAACATATCCTCGTATTTGTATAATTTTTTGTATGAATCCTTCTATTAGTATTATAAGATACTAATTAAAGTATTTTTGTAATTTTTTCTTAATTTGTACTACGTTTTGATATAATAATTAATATTAAAAAATCAACACGCAAAAAGTAAATGAGACTCTTAGAGCCGGATGGAGATAATATTATTTCTTAGTCTCAGTGTTCAGATATTGTGACATAATTAGTTCGAACGAAAAGGGTATTTTTTTTAACAAAAATGTATATAAATATATTTGTTTATTAACAAATTATAAAATAATAAAAAATAGAAGTAGTCCCATTTTAGAGCTAATAAAAACTCTATATAAAGTAGAACTCATATGGTCCATTTATCCCACATCGATCACAAATGAAGAACACAACAATGATAGATCTCCTCTATTTAGAATTTAGCCCTTCTCTTTTAATCATCGTTTTTACAATCTTTTTACTTTCTTTCCTTGTTTGTAAAAGACATCCTCGTAAACCCTATCCCCCGGGCCCGAAAGGTTGGCCGTTGCTCGGCTGTGTCGCCATGGCGGACAAGCTAACACATCGCGCCTTGGACAAGCTCGCCGCCCAATATGGCGATATTGTTCATCTACGGATCGGATTTCTCCATGTAATCTCAATATCGAGCCCTAATGTAGCTCAACAGGTGTGTAAAATTTTCGATTTTATGCGTGTTTTGGAATGTTTTGGAAAAAAAAAAAAAAAGTCGAATAGTAGTTGTATGCGATGTTTCACGTGGAATTTGGATGTCGAAATGATCGGTTTGTTGGTTGCATTTGAGATATGGTTTAAATAGTAGGTTAGATATGATATTTTGTAAAAGAAAAAAATAATAATATTACTTTTATATATAAAAAAAAGTATATATATTATAGAAAAAGTGAACTCAAAATTCAAATGAACATGCTTTATGTGTTTAAATAAGATATTATTATTTGGTCATATAATGTATTGTGTACATAAAATAAAATAAATTGAGCTTGGCAATAACTTAGTGAATAATGGTAAAGTCTCACGAGGTATGTTTACTTTGTATTTTTATTGGATGTAATTTATATATTAAATATTATAAATTGTGTCAATAATATAAAACATAATATTTTGTACTGAATTATTATTATGGTAAGTGAATAAAGTGTATATATTATGTACTCCTCCTATACCAATCAAAATAGAGGTTTTGTAATAGATAAAAATAATAATATTTTATTAGTGGACAAAAGTGTATAAGATGATTTTTACATAATTTATCCTTTATATTTTATGAATAAAATATTGTATATGTAATAATATATTTGTACTTTATGTACAAATTAAAAAATATTTTAATATAATAACTTTTATTGTATTTAAAAATATACTTTTAGTGTGACATAAAAAATTAGTAAAAATGATATTTTAAATTGAAATATAAATAAATATATTGCGTTATAATATATATTGTATATATTTTTTATATTATCTTTAAAAAATTATGTCATCTCAAAACATATAGTGAACAAACTTATTTCTTGTCTTTGGTCATCCTTGTTTAAATATTTTTTTAAGTGTATATCTTTACTTTTCTCATCCACTATTCATTATTTTACATCTTGCTCAGTATTATATCAATGGGTTTGTTTACTTGTGATTTTTTTTTTTTTTATAATTTCTATAAATTATTATTAGTATTATTTTTTTTAAAAGTCTAGTGTTAAATATTCATTTATTTTTATTTTTTATACAAAACATCATATCCAACTACTTAACATACTATTCTCATTTCTCCGAAACAAAATTTTACCATAACGCGTCTTACGATTTAACAAGATACTCCAAGCCCAAGACCACATCTTCTCGAACCGGCCGGCAAACAATGCCGTAACCTACCTAACCTACAACCGGGCCGACATGGTTTTCGCCAATTGTGGCCCCTTTTGGCGCCAAATGCGCAAACTTTATGTCACAAAGCTCTTTAGCCCAAGACGAGTCGAGTCGTGGGATTCCATCCGGATTGAAGTCGATAAAATGATCTCGGCTGTGGCTACCAAGGCGGGCACGGTGGTGAACATCGGAGATCTCATGTTTAGGCTCACTCAAAGCATCGTTTACCGGGCTGCATTCGGGTCGGGCTTATCCGAGGGCCAAGATGAGTTTATCAAGATTGTCCGAGATATCTCAAAGCTCTTTTGTTTGTTTGATTTTTCGGATTTTTTCCCTTTCATAAAATGGATCGATCCTCGAGGGGTTAATGTAAGGTTGCGCGCGACTAGGGCTGCGCTTGATCGGTTTATCGACGCGGTTATTGCCGAGCATGAGGTGAGAAGGGAAGTCGAGAGTTGTGGTAGAGATATGGTGGATGAGTTGATGTCTTTTTGGAGTGAAGATGACAAAGTTTTTGAGGATGGAAATGGTTCGAAAAAGTCGATTAATTTCACAAGGGACAATGTCAAAGCTGTTATAATGGTAAGGGTTCTTACTCCTACAAGATTTTTGGCTGTGTTTGAATTGAGTGTTTTTTTTTTAAAAAAAAAAATTGTTTTTTGCGCATTATACTTTCGAAATTTATCACATTATTTTAAAAATATAGTTTGGATTAATTTTAATTATTTTACTATTACAATATAATATAATTATTTTCTCCATTCTACATAAATTGTCAATTTTTTCTATTTTGGTCCGTTCACATGATGTCTTTTTATTTTTTTTATTTTTTAAAAATATGGTAATACACTTTAATTATATTTTAGAATTTATAATTTTTAAATTTTAATTAAACTATTTAGTCATCTTAATTTTAATATATAATTATTTTTATTATTAAAATAATTTTAATAATCATTTTTACTAATACACTTTTCAATTACTTTCTAATCACTTTACCAAAATTCTCGTATATACAGTAACATCGATAATTTATCCGGAACGAGGAGAGTAATTATTTTACTTTAAAAACAAAATGTGTCAGAAAACACATACACACAAAGTAAACGAACCTTTAAGGTGTATTTCTTAAAAGTTTAGATTTGAGTTTTGGGTTTGAGAATAAAAAAATAAATAAATAAATAAATTGAAATGAAACATCACTTCATACATATTCATTTTAAGTTGAAATTCCTGAACCTTACTAATATCAGAGCTATGATGTTGGTATTATTTACTCCCTCCGTTTCAGATACCGTGTGCTACACTGTAGACACGGTATTTTAGAAGATGTGTAATTAGTAGATAATTAAGAATATATTAGTAAAAATAATTATCCTATAATATAAATAATTATAAATTAAGATTAAGATAACTAATTAGTTTAATTAAAATTTAAAAAAATAAAATTTAAAAATTTAAAATGAGATTAAAGTGTGTAATCATTTTCCAAAAAAGGAAAGTGACATTGTATATCAGACGGACATAAACGGCAACGTGAACATAATATCTGGGACGAAGAGAGTATAATTTTGTTTAGAATTTCGAGATGATAAATTTTAAAAAGAGAGCGTTGAATATATTAATTAATCTAATAATTACATAATTTATTAAATTAATACTCCCTCCGTCCACAAACTAATGTCCTACTTTTCTATTTGGGACGTCCAACAATTATTGTCCTATTTCTTTTTTTTAAACACAAATTTTACATTTTTATCTTTAATTCCTTTATTACTTTCAATCTCTACCATACACTTAAGGACAAATTTGTTCATTCATAACAAAAAGACAATCACTTAAAAAATCGTGCAAATATATTTTAGGACAATAAAAATTGGACGGAGGAAAGTATTATAAATTATAATTCTATCATTCAAAGTAAACACTCACGAGATCACGACGACAACATAGGATATTATGTTCGGCGGAACAGAGACGGTGGCTTCCGGCATCGAATGGACACTATCGGAACTCCTAAGGAATCCAGTACACCTCAAAAGGGTGCAACAAGAACTCGCCGATATAGTCGGCCAAGATCACCAAGTCGATGAGGCCGACTTAAAAAACCTAACCTACCTCAATTGTTGCATAAAAGAGGCCCTCCGGCTCCACCCCCCGATCCCGATTCTCCTCCACGAGACTGCCGTCGACGCCACCGTCAACAGCTACCACATCCCCAAAAGATCGCGCGTCATGATCAACGTATGGGCCATTAGCCGTGACAAGCAGGCGTGGGAAGATCCCGAGGAGTTCAAGCCCGAGCGGTTTCTCAAAGACGAGGGCCCCGACTTTAATGGACAATACTTTGAGTTTATTACATTCGGGTCGGGTCGCAGGTCCTGTCCTGGAATGTATTTTGGGCTTTACACTGTGGAGCTGGCGCTTGCGTGCCTACTCCACGGATTTTTGTGGGAATTGCCCGATGGAATGTCGCCGGAGAAGATGGACATGAATGATGTGCCGGGTCTCGGGTCTATCCGCTCGAACCGCCTAGCGGCCGTGCCGAAGTTGCGACTTGGTTAAAATTTCTATTTTTAAGTGAGAGGGAATTTTGTTGATCTTTCTTTGTGGTTGGATTTGCTCGTTTATGATTATTTATATATATATATATATATATTGAGTTGTGATTTGAAAATAGTAGTAATATAAATAAATATTTAATGACATATTTTAAATTTAAAAAATATTCCTTTTTATGCTACTTCCGTTTCTCGACTAGAGCATCATTTGATTTTTATACTTAGATTGTTTTTAATATTGTCTCCGTCTTATTGAAATGTTGTCATTTTTTATTTTCGTTCGTTCCAAAATAGGGTTACTATTTTCTAATTTAGTAATTATATTATCTACCTAACATAATAAATATCTTTCAACTTACATTATATTACACAAATATCATTACTTTTATATTACACAATACTAATAGGGTTATTTTTATCTTTTTCACTACAACTCAATATAATAATAATATTAAAAAAATCTACGTACAAAAAGTAAACGGTAACATTTCTACGGGAATGAGACAATATTAATACTATCTCCGTCCCACATACCCTGTCTGCTACACTGTAGACACGGTATTTTAGGAGGGGTGTAATTAGTAGATAACTAAGATTAAGATAATTAATTAGTTTAATTAAAATTTTAAAAAAATAAATTAAAAATTTTAAACTGAGATTAAAGTGTGTAATTATTTTCCAAAAAAGGAAAATGACATGGTATGTGGGACGGACAGAAACGGCAACGTGGACATGATATGTGGGACGGAGGGAGTATTATATTGATTTGTAGGAAAAAGACAAAAATGTCTCTATTAGTACAGTATAATATAAAAATAATGATATTTGTATAATACTCCATTTGTCATTCAAATTTATGTTCACTTTCCTTTTTAGGTTGTTATTGAAAAATATTCTCATTTCTTTTTAAGTAAAAAATTACTCCCTCCGTCATCCAATTGTGTGCTCATTTGATCGGGCACGAGTTTTAAAAAAAATATGTACAAATAGAAGTTTTTACTTTTTTTGGTAAAGAAAAGTGGTATTTTTTTACTAAAAAAGGAAACGGAAATAAATTTGGATGACAACCAAAAAAGAAAAGTGAAAATAGATTTGAATGAAGGAGGAAGTATTATATTTTTGTATTTTTTTTTTACTATAAAAAAAATAACTATTATTACTAACTTTTATTAAAACTCGTGCCCGGTCAAATGAGCATACATTTGCATGACGGAGAGAGTATATTTTAAATTGTTAGGATGTTTATTATATTAGGTAGATAGTTTAATTACTAAATTAGAAAATAGTTTCGTTGTTTTGAAACGGACAAAAATAGAAAATGTATTATTTTTATGGGACGGAGCGGGTATAATATTTTATGTAATAAAAAAATGTTTTATATATTTCTTAAATTTATGTTAAAAAGGTGTACCTTTATATTTATATTTATACAGCGTACAAATTACATTAGGCGAACCATGTGTGACAGTCTGACAGGCGGCTTGACGTGTTATCGGACAAGTTTTAAATATTTTGTAAAATGAAAATAAGAATTTTTTTTTAATCTTATAGCAAATGATATAAAACTATTAGAACAAATCAACCTATAGAAATTAAAATAAATGAAATGAAAGATAAATAAACAAAAAAGGAAGAAACGATTTTGTTCATTCAATTTATATTTTGGTGGCTCAATTTTCAATAAATATTACAAAAATTACATTATATATCATATTTTATATTCATTCATAAAAATCAATAATTCAAACATTATTTTTTATAGGTAAAATTGCTTATAACTCTAATGTGATTTCGAAATTCAGCGTAAAATCTCCCTATACTTTAAAAATTGCATGGTACCCCCTTATGCTTTTAAAATCGTTGCATGAAACCCCACCACCATGAAACTTTCCTCGTGTGATAAGAAGATGATGTCCTATCTACATCTTTTGCATGACAGGGGGTTTTATGCAATATTTTTGAAAGTATAAGTGAGCGTCATGCAATTTTTTAAAGTAAAATGAGGATTTATGCTGAGTTTCGAAACCACAAAGTGATTTCATGCAACATTTTTTAAAGTGTAAGGGGACATCATGCAATTTTTAAAATAGATGGAAAATTTACGCTGAGTTTCGAAACCACAAGGGAATTATAAGCAATTTTGCCTTTTTTATATCTAACATAAAAGAATACATTCATCCACAAAATACAAAGTGAATAGACGTTGATTCAAATTATAATCCACAAAATTTTACTCTTTTTGTACCAGTTAGTGTTCATGTTATGTAGAAATAAAAATTTAAAAAATATATATAATTAGTAAATAATTAAAATTGTATTAATAAAAGTAATTATTAATTAAATTAAAATAATTAATTAATCTAATTAAAATTATAAATTATAATTATTTTTATTTTTATTTTTTTTTAAAAAAAAGCAAGGTAAAATATGAAACGTATACTCTACCCAAAGCCTTCATAGTATTTGAAAAGTCAATTGGACGCGTCGAAGAATCTTCTCATTACCCATCGTTTTCGCCTACGATTAAATTTATCAAATTTAAGGGTGTGTTTGTTTGGGGGATTGGATTTTAATTCCACTGTTCATCACATTTTTTTCCTAAAAAAACATCAAATCAAATACCTATTTTTTATTTTTTTATTATATTAAAAATTAATTTTACATTCAAAACATCACATCAACACCTATTTATATCACATCATACAACTATTCAAATTTAAAATTTTTACTATTCAAATCCCAACTCAAAATCCAAACCCCCAAACAACGTGAACCGAAATATATTATTGTCCGAGAGTTTAGATTTTGTACCTCAGTAAATATATTATTGTCTGAGAGTTTAAATTTTGAGTTAAAATTTGAATAGTAAAAATTTCGAACTGAAATAGTTGTACAATGTGATATAAATAGTTGTTGATGTGATGTTTTGAATGTAAAATTGACTTTTAGTATAATATAAAAAATAGAAAAATATGTGTTTGATTTGATATTTTTGAAAAAAAAAAATGAATGAATAGTAAAATTTCAGGAGAATTTCCCAAACAAACACACCCCTAAAGGATATGGGTGTGTTTACTTGTAATTTCGTCTTTGGTTTTACTATATTAATTTTATTTTTAAAATAAAATAAAATAAAATATTATTTATTTATTATATTATATTAAAATAATCATGTCGACTCAAAATTTTATTATTCAAATCAAAACTCAAAATCAAACTATGTTCTTTCGAAATGTATTTCTAATTTTTTTAATAGAATAAAGTTTTTTCAATAAAATATTTTTTTTTATCTCAACTCAAAGTATTTTTTTTATTATTTTCATTCGTCTCGTTTAAAAGTAATTATTTATTTTTTAAAAAAAATAATTATGAGAAAAATATTAAAATTTCTTACACATTAATAAAATATTACTCCCTCCGTCCACTTACAAAATTTACATTTACTTTTGGCGCGGTGTTTAAGAAATAATAATATTTTAATTATAGTGAATAGTTAAAAGTAGTGTAATGACATTTTTGCCCTTACTTTTTTTGTGTAAAAGTAATGATGTTATGTAAAGTAAGGGTATTTGTGAAAAAAAATAAGGTATTTAATAAAATGTTAATTTTGTAATTGTACATTTCAAAATAGAAATACGTAAATATTGTAAGTGGACGGACGAAGTATTATTTATTAATTAATTAATGGTTTATTAAATATAAACAATTTTGGGTTAGATAGGTCTTCAACCAATCCCAAAATTCGAAGCTTTGTTCGCTTTCTCCCCATGGCAGGCCACTTCTCCAAATCCCCCTTTTCTCACTTTTATTTATTTATTTAATTAACGAAAAAGACCAAATCAATTTTTGTCATTCTTGTTGATTTTTCCTCATCTTAGAGATTAGGAGACTTCCTAGAAGTCTTTGGATTTTTAAATTATTTTGAAATATATAAAAGAATATTTAATTCAATATTTTTTTTTGAAAAATGGTTGACGAATAAAATTTAAACTTTAAAATATAAAAATATATTTAAATAATATTTGATACACCTTTTGTCTAATTTGTTTATCATTTTCGTCTGTCGCATTTTAAAATATTATTTTTTTATTTTAGAAAAGAAATTATGCATTAATATCATAATACTCTAATTTTTATTTAAATTACAAATATACCATAACATATATCATTACTTTAAACATAAAATTAAATAACAAAAATTTAAAAAACTCTTAAGTATTATCACTTACTAATAAAATACTATGTCCATATTTTCATTTCTGGTTTGTCCATATTATTATTTTTTTTTTTTTGAAAAAAATTAAACATTTTAATATTATTTTAAAATTTTTAATTTATAATTTTTGTAATTTTAATTAAATTAATTAATTATCTTAGTTTTAAATAAATTTCTTTTATATGATAATTAGTTTTACTAATATATATTTTTAATTATTTATTAATTATATTTCTTTTAAATTTTCGTATTTACAATAAAAGGAATATCATGGCCGGAACGAAGGAGATATTAATTTTTAATTTATTATAAAATTCTAAATAGATTTATTAATTTGGAATAGAGAGAATATAATATTTTATAATATATATATTTTAAAAGAACTTTAATTTTAAAATAGTAAAAAAAAATAAAATCCTAAATGTTCTTTATTAGAATTATTCTATAACGTAGGTTGGTTCCACGATTCCTCGTCTATATCGATCGCCATTTTGGATTTTTGTATCTTCCCTCAGTCAACTCTTCCTTCATCTGTATTCACTTCATCCCTACCAACCAACCCTATTCTGCAACTTCATTAATTCAATTTCTTCTACTTCCTTAGCTTCTTCTGCTCTAAATCCGCTTCGATTTTCACCATTCCTGTTGAAATTCGAGGTTTATTTTCTACACATTTTATTACATCTCCAGCTAAATGTATGAACTGAATTCTTCTGCAAAAGATACATAGATCAAATCCCCTTTCCAAAATTTCCCCCAATTTCTAGGGTTTGTTCATCAGAATGGCTCATTTTTCACACTCAGATTCGACTTCAGGAAGCTCCCATGGCCAGGGCATGCAATTTCTCCCATTCCAAACAGCCTCAGGATCCCTCAAGGTCGTGTTATTACACGGAAATGTCGATGTTCTTGTTAAGGAAGCAAAGAATCTTCCCAACATGGATTTGTTCCACAAGAATTTAGGCGACATGTTCGGCAGACTGTCCGGAAAATTCATCAGCAAAGTCGAAGGATCGGTGCCGGCGAAGATCACCAGCGATCCGTACGTCGTGATCGCCGTCTCCAACGCCGTCATCGGCCGGACTTTCGTCATCAGCAACTCCGAAAATCCGGTGTGGCAGCAGCGCTTCCGCGTCCCAGTGGCGCACCGCGCCGCCGAAGTCCAATTCGTCGTCAAAGAAAGCGACGTGTTAGGCTCGCAGATCATCGGCGCCGTCGGAATTCCCGCCGACCGCCTCTTGTCCGGCGACCGGGTCGAGGGGACTTTTCCGATCCTCGGCGCCAACGGGAAGCCATGCAATCCCGGGGCGACGTTGAGTTTATCGATCCAATACGTCCCGACGGAGAAATCGCCGCTCTACCGTGGCGTCGGCGGCGATCTCTCGTATTCGGGTGTCCCGGGGACGTATTTCCCGATACGGCGCGGAGGAACGGTTACGTTGTACCAAGACGCTCACGTGCACGACGGGGCGCTCCCGAGCGTGTTGCTTGCCGACGGCCGGCCTTATCGACCGCGACATTGTTGGCGAGATATTTATGATGCGATAAGTGAGGCTCGACGTTTTGTTTACATTACGGGTTGGTCGGTTTACCATATGGTTCGTCTTGTAAGGGATGATCCGAATGCGTCGAATAGTACCCTCGGCGAGCTCTTGAAGGTTAAGTCGCAAGAAGGCGTTCGAGTCCTTCTCCTCGTGTGGGACGACCCGACCTCCACGAGTATTTTGGGGTACAAAACCGTAAGAATCTAGCGCGCTCTTGTGTTTATATACGGCGCGATGTTTATCATAAATTTGTTACCTACAATATGTACATTCCTGCTGGCTTAAGTTTTTAGGTGAGATGATCGTTTGATAATTTTGTCTCGGCGCTTTTAGAAGCATTGAAGTTTGATTTACGATTGCGTGTAGCCATCGCCGGTTGATAGCAACGGCGATGTCGATAGACTTTTGTTGTGCATTTTGTAGGGTGATATAGTTTTTCTAATAATTTTTTAGGTGAGATGGTCATTTAACATTTTCAATACAGTTATAAATTGTAATTTCTTGGCGCTTTTAGATCGAAGTTTTGATTTACGGTTGCGTGTAGCCGTCACCGGTTGATAGCAATAGTCGATGTCGATAGACTTTTGTCGTGCATTTTGTTCGTTGATGCCATTTTTATGTTAATTTTAGGTGAGATGGTCATTTAATATTTTTTACTCGGTTATGCATTATGGTTTCTTGGCGCTTTTAGAAGCGATCGAAGTTTTGATTTACGGTTGCGTGTAGCCGTCACCGGTTGATAGCAATAGTCGATGTTGATAGACTTTTGTTGTGCATTTTGTTGGTTGACGCTATTTTTTTTGGTCGTTTCTAGGTGAGATGATCATTTAATATTTTTTACTCTGGTTATGCATTGTGGTTTCTTGGCGCTTTTAGAAGCTAGCGATCGAAGTTTCAATTTACGACTGTGTGTAGCCATCACCGGTTGATATATAGCAATAGTCGATGTCGATAGACTTTTGTCACGTGTTTTGTTAGTAGATGCTGTTTTTCTGATCACCTATTTCGACATTTAGGACGGCGTAATGAACACGAACGATGAAGAAACTCGGCGCTACTTCAAGCATTCGTCGGTGAATGTGTTGCTATGTCCACGGTCCGCCGGGAAAGGCAGCTGGGTGAAAAAACAGGTTCGGATCTGCGTCACCGATCGAAATCTTTCTTTGCGAAGTAGCTCAACAGTCGATTCTTTTTACGATCTTTTCAGGAGACGGGAACGATCTACACTCATCATCAGAAAAGCGTGATAGTCGACGCCGATGCCGGAAACTACAGGAGAAAGATCGTTGCGTTTGTCGGGGGACTCGATCTATGCAGGGGAAGATACGACACGCCGAAACACCCGATCTTTAGCACATTACAAACCGTTCACAAAGACGATTTTCACAATCCGAATTTCACGGTAACATGTTCTTGCCCGAGTTCTCGACTGGTAAGGCAATACCGAAAGAAGTAGCTAAACTTCGTCGTTTTCTAACTCAAATAGGGGCCGACGGTTGGTTGTCCACGAGAGCCATGGCATGACCTACATTGTAAAATCGACGGCCCAGCTGCCTATGATGTCTTGAAGAACTTCGAAGAGCGTTGGCATAAGGCTTCGAAGCGCCACGGTCTTCAGAAAATGAAATCATCACACGACGACTCCTTACTCAAGCTCGATAGAATTCCTGACGTGTTGAGGATCGACGAGGCTGCCGGACAAAGCCAAGCCGATCCCGAGAGCTGGCACATACAGGTAGTTTACGACAAGATCGAGAAAAAAAAGTATGATAACTATTTTGCGACTAAGTTCGTTACAAAATCGCAGGTTTTTCGTTCTATCGACTCAAACTCGGTTAAAGGCTTCCCGAAGGATCCGAAGGAGGCTCCGGGCAGGGTAAGTATCGACGCTTTTTCACCTAAATTCTTTCACGATTTTTATGATGAGCGACGAAGGCGTTATAACTTTTGCAGAACTTGGTGTGCGGGAAAAATATATTGATCGACATGAGCATACACACGGCTTACGTGAAGGCGATTCGTTCGGCGCAACATTTCATATACATCGAGAATCAGTACTTCCTTGGTTCGTCGTTCAATTGGTCGAACTATCGAGACTTGGGTAAGAAAATCTCGTCATAAATTTGCGATAGTAGCGCAAAAATGGCTATAAACATCGATTTTTTTTATTGATTTTTCAGGCGCAAACAATTTGATTCCTATGGAAATCGCGCTCAAAATTGCGAACAAAATTCGAGCGAGGGAGAGGTTTTCCGTGTACATAGTTGTCCCGATGTGGCCGGAGGGAGTTCCGACGAGCACTCCTACACAAAGAATTCTCTTTTGGCAGGTCGGTTTTCAAATCCTCGACTTATTATCTTTCTTAACTAGCCTTCGATAGTAGGCGATAGGCCGGATTAGAGCTCGCGGCTTTAATGTTACATAAGACACGACAACGATAGACAAGCAACTGTTATTACTATTTGCTTTTTTTGCGTCTGTATTCAATTTTATTATCAAATTTATGTTGGTTTATGTTATACCACTTGAGTTTGAGGGAATGTTTAGATATTTTAGATATTCAATTTTAAATTTAAGAGATTTAAATTTGGTATTTTTCATATATTAAATTATTTAGATTTGAGTTTATTTTTATTTCGACTATAAATAGGTTTTTTATTTTTGTTATGAATAATAATGCAATTTTTCAGTCTTCTTAATTTATTTCTCACTGTCTTGTTAAGAATGAGTTTTGTTTCTCGTCGCTCCAACATTGTTTTTCTTATGCGCGTAGTATAACACGATGCAAATGATGTACGAAACGATCTACAACGCTTTGGTCGAGATGGGGCTCGAGCGCGACTACGAGCCGCAAGATTACTTAAATTTCTTTTGCCTCGGGAATCGTGAGGTCGCCGCCGGTGAAAGCATCCCCGACGTCAAAGGAGCTTCCGGAAACACTCCTCAGGTATATATATGTCGACAACGACTAATTTATTAATAATTTTCAAATAATCATCTCATCTAAAAATTATAATTAATCGCAAGATAGGTAAAATGACATTCCTTATCATTTTAGTCATTTAAAAAAACTTTATATTAAAATAATCTTATATCCAGGGGCGGACCTAGAGCTAAGGTATAAGTGCCACTTGCATTTTATTCCATCAAAGGAATCTTTTTATGATTTAACAATTGTGTTACCACTAAAAAATTTGAAATTTTATCATTATCAAAAAATAATAGTGAATTATTTAAAATTTAAAATTTAAAATGTTATGTAAATGACTAAAATGATAAGGAGTTCGATATTTAAGACAAAAGTTACATTTGATCAAACCATATTGAACGAAAATTCTTTTTTTCGATCCCTCATCGCGTCTTTACATTTCACCTCCCAATCGAACATCTAGGTGCTAACTCGGAAGAACCAACGCTTCATGATCTACGTACACTCGAAGGGAATGATCGTGGACGACGAGTACGTGATACTAGGATCCGCGAACATCAACCAACGCTCGATGGAAGGAACCCGGGACACCGAAATCGCCATGGGCGCTTATCAACCGAACTACACGTGGGCGAACAAGCATTCAAATCCACGCGGAGAGGTACAATCGCTCGATCCCCACACATATATATATATATAGACTCGTAATTTTTTTTTTATTATTATTTTTAACCTTTGGTTCGTCATATTGTGTTGTAGATCTTTGGATACAGAATGTCACTATGGGCGGAGCACACGGGTACTTTAGAGCAATGCTTCGAGCATCCGGAAAGCCTCGAATGCGCGAGACGAGTGAGGTGGATGGGCGAGCACAATTGGCAAAAGTTCGCAGGGAGTGAAGTATGCAACTTGCCGGGACACTTGCTTAAGTATCCGGTGGCGGTCGATAGGGCCGGGAAGGTGTCGCCGTTGCCCGGCTACGAGACGTTTCCCGACATGGGCGGGAAAATCATAGGGACATTTTCGGGAATTCAAGAAAATCTCACGATATGATTGAAAAAAAAGTATAGCTTTTGCAGGCTATATTAGGTTCGGCTGGGGTTTTCTCAGTGCACACTTTCGCAGCAGCGGCGGTTCCCACCTCATTTCAAAAAAAAAAAAGGTATAGTTTTTGCATTTTCCTTTCTACGTACTTAAAATTTATTGCAGTCGCTAATTTAAAAAAAAAAAATTATTGAAGGTTTACTGTCTGAATTTTTAGGACTCATTTGTTTGGTTTGTATTTTTGTATATGTTTTTTGTGCTTGATATTTTATAAGAGGGAATAACCTATTTATTTGAAAACATGATGATTTGTATAGTAAAAAAACTTTCAAACTTTCTTTTCTGTACATTTTGTTAAAAGTAAAATCCACATTAATGTTATGAGAAATGATGAACAGTGATAGTGAAAAATAACAATAATAAAAAAAGATGCAATTATCTCGATCCAAGCCATCATATATATATATATATATATATTGTAATACTAAAATATTTAATTGAAAATAAATATAATTTTTATAAATAACTATTCAAAAAACGAAGAATTGTGATAAGGAAAAATAACAATAATAATAAAGATGCAATTATTTCGATCCAAGCCATCATACATATATATATATATATTGTAATATTAAAATATTTAATTGAAAAAAATAATTCTACCAAAAACAATTTTTTCGAATAATTTTTTTATTTAAGATAAACTCGTGACTATAAAAATATGAATTCAAATATCCGAGGCATAAGTATTGTGATTTTAATATATTATAAAATTAAACTAATATCTTTATTATAAACCGTATTGATTGGAATAATATTTAATTTTAATTTCAAATCAAAATCAAACTACTCTAAAATGTTAAATAATATTGACATAATAATTATTAATAATAACACATTTAAAATTATCAATATCTCTATATAAAACTCATATCTAAATACATAATAAATTAATTTATACTCGCTCCGCCCGCGCCTCTGAGGGTTACATTTACCTTTTACGTCATTATATTTAACATTAAAAGTATCGTATAATTTTTTATTATAAATGTCATTCTATTAGTATTATAAGACACTAACGAAGGTAATTTTACAATTTTTTTTTAATTTGTACTACATTTTAATACGACTCTTAAAACTAGACGGAGGTAGTATGTTTTTCAAATCAATTAATTACACAGTGCAAAAATAAAGTTGAAAACATATTCGGCCGAACATAGTTTTATTAGCACAGGTGATACAACCATCTTCATGGTTACAATAAAAAATCCGAACACAAGATGTCTCGGCCTAACACCAATATATTCAGGTTCGAATTAACAACCACGTCGACGTCAATTAGACACCGGCCGGCGGTGCGCCTTCGGTTGTCCGAAGACGCCGCTATTCCGATAAACAGTAGACTGCCGGAAATTCGCCCGCGAGTAGGACCGGTCGGATTCCAAATTATAAGGGGATCCCGGAATGTAGCTGTACACGACGACCGGTGTCCTCACCACATGTTTCCCGTCACTCCAACTGATGGCTCCCGACGTGATCGGCTGCTGCGCCATAGCCGGTCCGGTGACTTTAACGGCGAAACTTTTGGTCTGTCCGACAGCCGAGAATGTCAGAACGGATGGCTCGATTGCGACGGTAATAAATGGGGCCGGCATGTACAAACTAGCCGTGTAACTCGAGTTCGCCGCTCCAACATTTGTGACGGTCCTAGTGAAAGTGCCGTGAATTTTTTCGCCGTCCTCGACGTATAGGGAGAACGACGGGTAGTTGAGATCCCATCCTCTTCCCGGGGCCGTGCTCGCGCACGTGCTGTTGTCTCCGGTGATTAGCCGGAGAGTTGTCGTGTTGTAGCCTTGTTTGCAAAGGAAATTGACGTAATCCGCCTCCGATGCGTCAAATACAAGCCCGGGGTCGCTTGCGGCCGCCGGGTTGATTTGGCCCGAGCCGTAGGCGAATTCGCGGTCGTCATGTTTGCTCGGGTCCATTACGCGAGCTGGTTCCGATCGAGCAAGAAGAGTTACGCTTAGTAGTAGATGTTCGAAAATTTACGATTTTGTTAAATGACCATCTCACCTAAAAATTTAATATTAAGAAATAGGGTAAATTATATAACACCTTATTCTGTTTCAATAAAAATGCATAAAATATCCGTGTTTTATTTATTGCATGAAGCCATTCGATGTCAAGTTTGCACGAAATACTCTTTTTGTCCAAAACTGATATTTGATTGTAAATATGAACTCAATAATGCAAGTTTTATTCAAATAAAAAATATATACATTTTAAATAATTTTTTAAATAAAATAAATAAATAAATAAATAATTGATTCATCATTTATTTATAATTTTTGAAAATAAATTGTTATCTGATTTTACGGAAACTATAAAAAAATAAATGATTTGATCATTTACTTATTTATTTTAAAAATATATTTGAGATATTCTACGTTTTTTATTTATATAAAATTTGCGTAATTTAAGTCTTTATTTAGAATCAAACATCAGTTGGACCGTGAGAGTGTTTCGTGCGAACTTTATATTAACACAACGGATTTCACGTAATAAATAAAACACTAGTATTTTATGCATATTTTTACTAAAATTGATGAAATGTTATATAATTTATCCTAATAATGTATTTATATATTACGGAGTCAACCAACAGATTTCGAGTGAAAGTTCATTCACCTGTGGTCATTAGAGCCGACTTGATCGCCGCCGGAGACCAATCCGGGTGGGCGGCTTTGACATAAGCAGCAGCGGCGCTTGCATGGGGGCACGACATGGATGTGCCGGAGACGATGTTGAATAGTGTGCTCTTGGTATCGTAAGGCGACACCGGAGACCACCCAGCGAGAATATCGACACCCGGTGCCGTGAGATCGGGCTACATCACATGCCAAAAAAACGATATACCCATCGATTAGATATGCGCACAAATCTTCCAAAATTATACGACGAATAAACGAATGCACCGTCGTTTTTCACCTTAAGAATGTCGGGGGAGATTGGGTTCGGCCCTCTAGAAGAGAACGATACGACAACCGGCGCCATAGCATCCTTCCACGCATCGCTAAAGAAAATCGTCGCCGTCGGGTTCCTAGTACGAAGATCGAGTTTAAGTTAGTTGAAAGTTGTGTTTTCCGAAAAATGGCGATCGGAGGAGAATCGCGTACTCTGAGCTTCTTATGTAATCTTTAACGATTCTCCCATCCTCGGGGCTTAACAACGTCGATGGCAACGGCCTACTAAAGGCAACGTCGAGATATTGGTAACGAACATCGGATATAACGAGGCCGGCCCCGTTACCTTGTAAGATCGCCGAGTCACCCCACACGGCTTCGCAAAAAACAATTTTCCCGGCCACAATGTCATCGTTCATGTAACCGGGAAAGCAATATCTCGCGATATCCGGGCTAGAACCGATCGTGTAGTTGGCTGCATCGCCTCCCCAAATCAATGGATACGACGTGCCGTTGAGATCGAAGATGTTGATCGCCATTCCCTTCATTTGATTCGCCTCATTTTGTCAGTGCCAGAATTTGAAGAAAAATTATGAAAATCGTATCATCTTAATCATCAAAATAAATTACCTATATATATATAGTCAATATAAAACAGTCAAATTTAAATCTAAATCTATTAAATTTAAAATTAAATATTTAAAATATCTGAACAGGTAGGACATAAGAACAAATGTAGCTTATGTAGTAATAATCTTTCATCGTCGAACATACCGTTAACATTAGTCCGTTGCCGAGCTGCATTCTCGTGACGAATTTCCTATCGATAGAGCTAGCAGCGACGGTAAGTGTCCACGGAGAGTAGTTCCTAATCGTCACCAGGTAAGGTCCGGAGTTCCCGGCCGAGTTCGATGTCAAAATTCCATTCCTCATGGCGTGGAAAGATCCAATGGCGATGGGGTCGTCAAAGTAGTAATCGGGATAGGGAGATCCTAATGACACCGATATAATATCGACGCCGTCCGCTATTGCATCATCGAACGCTTTGAGGATGTCCGCAGAGCTGCAACCACCCAACCAACAAACTTTGTACACAGCGACCCTCGAATTAGGCATGCCTCCGCGAGCTTTGCCCTTGGCTAGACCATAGTAGCTTGCGTTGACTTGGACGCCCGAAGCTGTCGACGCCGTGTGCGTTCCATGCCCCTCAGAGTCTCTCGGGGATTGGATGTCGCCCGGGTACGACGAGTTGTAAACGTTGTAGTAGCGCGCTCCGATGATCTTGCTACAATGGATCGGAGATTAACTCGTGTTAACATCTATATATACACGTTAAATCAATATTCGTCGTTTCGAAGTTTTGAAAAAAATTGAGAATAGTAGAGAGATAGTATTTGATCTGACATTTTGTGAGAAGAAAATTATTTATAAGATTTTACGAGTATTTCGTTACTTAATATCATGGTTTTAAATAGTTATGAATACTTAACAAAAATTATTCAATTACAATACCAGTAAAAAAAAAAAATATTGAAGATGATTTTGTTATTTTACATAGTTACAAACGATAATAAAAAATAAAAAAAAATAGTAGTTGTTGTTACTTATGTCATGACTTTAAAAAGTCACGAAAATTTACCATATGACAATATCTGTAATAATTTAAAACGTTGCAAATATTTTGTTATTTGTGTCGCAACTTAAATTAGTCACGAAAAAAAATCCGTGACAATATTTGCGACGAAATAATCAAAAGACATGTAATATAAATATCTTAAACATTTTCGTTATATAAACCGCTACTTTAATTAGTCACGGAAAATTACTCGTAACTTTTTCAGCAAATATTACCCACAGAGCAGTCAAAAAAAGAAATTGTGACATCAATTGGTCATGAAATTAAAATCAGCAATGAATTTTCGCAACTATCAATTTTTTTTCTAGTAGTGGAACAAGGTCAAAAGTTTTAAAGATATTTGTATAAACAGAGTCTTACTTATTACAAGTGAAGTTCGCGCCGGTGCACGCCCCCTTCCATTTTTCCGGTGGCGGGCCGAACCCTTTGTCGTCGAAACTAGGATGCTCCGGCCACACACCTAAGTCCGTACGACATAAATAGCGCGACTTAACCACAACCTCGCGAAATAAAGATTTCTTGTAACTTTACGGGGAAAAATTGCAAAAAGTATTCTACACGTATACCTCATTATCACTTTTGTCCTGTATTTATCTCGTTGGAAAAATATATTCTACATGTTTGCAAAAGTCGTTATATCTGTCCTTTGGAAGAGCATGATGTTCACACCTCGCGCGGCCAAAAGATAGAAAAACGACTTTTTCAAACATATAGGATATATTTTACTAGCGAGATAAGTATACGACAAAAGTGATAATGGGATATATATGTGGGATATTTTTTGTAATTTTCTCAACTTTACGGTTAGAAAGTGAACGTAGTCAAGTTACCGGTGTCGAGAAGCCCAATTACGACATCCGATTCCGAAGGCACTCCGAGTTTGTCAGTCGTAAGATTCACAAAGTCCCACGATCGCGTCGTGTGAAGCTCGTAAACACGGTTTGGATTCACCGAAACCACTCCTTCCATTTCTGTGCCGCGTTGATAACCTCTAAGTCATCCTTTTTTTTTCTTTCATCCAATTCGTAAAAATGAGCGTAATAAGATTATCGGAAAAACCGAACCTGAAATTGCCCGAGCTTCGTCCGGCGTAAGCATAGCAGCAAATCCATCGAAGCTCCTTCCGTAAGTATAAATGAGCGACTTTTTGGCTGCCGAAGCGCTGAAATTACGAGCCCCAATTCGTCGCCATTTTCCCAATGTGAAAATATTTTAAAGAAACTTGGAAAATTGCAGTATATCGATTATCAAAATAAGGGGCTATATATATATATATAGACAAAATAAAACATTCTATTACTAAACTGGTCCAAAAATTACGACAAGTGATCAAGCAGCGCAAACCTGCCGAGTACTCGATGCAGCATCGCGTGATGTCTGGTGGCCGCCGACGCTTGCTCCAGCGACGATCGATCTCCCATGTATACAATGTGCAGCTGTCAAAACGACGTAAATTTGTTAATAGCGAAACATTTTCACCGTGGATTTTTTCTCCGGTCGAGTAAATACAACGCACCTCTCGATCGTGGCACCAGCAGTTGAACGCGAATGCGGTGAGCAAGAACAGGTAGAAAATCGAGAGCTTCCGGGACTCGGATTTCGCCATCCGATCGGATATTTGATCGTTGGTTTGTTCGATTGATCGATGAAGTAAGTGTTTGAGGATGGGGAGTTATATAGAGGAGGTTTTGGATAGTTTTGTCCGAATGAAAGAGAACATTGTTTCGATTTGGTTTCACAATGTTAGAACATACTTCTATTTTTGTTTCTTAGTTCTTGTTGTTTGTCTTTTAATGGATGTTGTTTTGTAATAAGTGTATATATTTTTTATTAGGCATCGAAATATGCTTCGTGTGCTGGAAAGACAATGCATTGTAGGGTTGGAGTCATTGTTTTCTAAGAGTGTGGAGACTTATACTGCCTTCGTCCGCGTTTAAGGTTTCATTTATTTTTTTTCATGTTATTTTTTTAATATTAATTATTATATCAAAATATAGTATAAATTAAAAAAAATTAAAAAAAATACTTATGTGTCTTGTAATATTAATAGAAGGATATTTGTAAAAAAAATTATACAAATATAAAGATATTTTTAATATTAAGTACAATGACGCAAAAAATAAATGTGACCCTTAAAGGCAGACGGGGAGAGTAATATACCGTACTCTCTTCGTCTCACATATTATTGTGTAATATTTGATTTTCGGTACAAGAATTTAAATAAATAGAATTAAATAGAATAAATTATGAATGAAGTAATGTGACGGATAAGAGAAGTGTATTTTTTTTTATTTTAGTAATATGATAAGAATAGTTAATTATTCACATGATTCAAATAGTTTTTGAAATATTGCATAATATATAAGAAAGATCAAAATAAAAAATCTATTATAATTACGTAATAAAAAACCAACCAAATTCCAATAGAACATAACCCAAGAACTCCTTCATTCAATAAAACATCAATACTAAATGTGACTTCCCATTACAATAATTTTATTAAACATACCAAAAAAAAAAAAAAAAAGCAATTAGCTTTTCAATCTCTCCTCAAGAAGCTTGACTCCCATATACCTATAAAATTTTAAAAATAAATTAAAATAAAAATAAAAATAAAAATAAAAAATAAAAGATATATATATACATATATGTGTAAAAATATATATATATATACCTTCCCAACATCATAACAGTAGCTTGAGGGTTCGTCCCGGGCGAAAACTCAAAAGTCGATCCATCGACAATCCTCAAAGAATCGACTCCAAAAACCCTATAGTCAGAATCAACCACCCTCCCTACCTGACAACCCCCGTGGTAATGCCATATTGTCATCACGGTGTCCTTACAAAATTGCTCCAAAGAAATCGATGAGTTAGTGTGCCGAGGTAGCAAATTCACAGGTGCGCTTGCAGTCATGTTGAGGAGTCTTGGAAGTGTAAGATAGTCGTATCTAAATTTTGAAAATGATTTTGATTCGATCACCGATTCGATCATATTAAGGCCTTGAACACATCTTTGTAAATCTTTAGGATCTTGAAAATAGTTAAATGTCACAGACGGATTGTCGTTCGGATTCTTGGTTTTTAAGAGTAAATGGCCTTTAGAGAATGGGCCCATTACCTTTTCTAAAATAAATCCACCCTTAAAGACCATCGGGTCGATTTGTTGCATAGACTCGATCACTTTTGTAAGGGCTTCTTCGGTTCTTTGCTTCGGTGGAAGTGTTGAAAGTTGCCCGATCTATGCAAAAAAAAAAAAAAAAAAAAAAAAAGAAGAAGAAGAAGAAGAAAAAAAGAAAGAAGAAGTTATGTTTATTGAAACTTTTAAGGCATTTTTTAAAAATTTGAGTTTAATTGAATATTTTTCATTAAATTTTCTCTCTGAAACAATCAAATCGAATATATAGTTGTCATTTAATATATTATAGAAATAAATATTTTTTCATTCGAAGATTACATCAAGTACTTCTTTTATCCGGTAAAATTACAATATTTGAGTGAAAACGAATATTTATTAAAAAAAAAAAGTATTCCTTCCGTCCCAAACAAGGTACAACATTTATTTTTTGCACGGGTTTTTAAATGGATAGTATTAAGTATAATAATTTAAAAATTAGGTGATGTGATGGAGAGATAAATATATATTTTATTTTTTTATTTGAATGATGTGAGGGGGATAAAGTGTGGGGTAGAGATCAGGTATAATTAATTATTTCCTATTTTGAAAATATTGCAGGGTGTTTGGGACATATCAAAAAGGAAATGTTGCAAGGTGTTTGGGACGGAGGGAGTAAAAAATAAATAATTAGAAGTATTTTTGAAATTTTAGTTAAGTGAATAAAAAGATAATATAATAAAGTTAAAGAAAATTTGTTGTTAATAAAAGTTGACCGGGGTAATAGTAAATGTTGATTTTTTTTCTTACTTTGACAAATTTAATAATACCGTAAAATTTAATAGATGAACGAAAATAAATAAATTTGATAAACGAAATGAATACTATTATAATTCAAATTTTCACTATTAAATAAAATATCTAATGAGAGTTTCGAGAAAAAAAAATAAAATATATAAAAAATAAATATTTGATGCGACATAAACATATGTTATATCACATTTTTTAGAAGAATATCAAAATTAAGTATTTGATACGATAATTTTCTTTTTTAAAAAAATATATTATCAATAAAGTATCATAAGTAATTTAAAATCATACGTAAAAAGAGCAAATAACCCATAAAATTTTGCATACCTTAGGAGAAAACATTCCGAAATCCCTTTGGGTCGGACTACCGGCAAAATTTTCTCCGGAAGCAGCTTCGATGTAGCTTCCGAACGAAGTGATCCCGACCACTTGAATCAACGAAACTTCGACTGGAGTCGGAGACGGCACGTATATCGCATTCATCGGGTTGTCGGACATTCCTTGGCCCACTAGAGGTTGGTCGAGCACGACGGAGATGTTGTGGGCCTTGAGATGGTCCAATGGGCCCACTCCACTAAGCATCAATAATTGTGGGCTTCCAAGTGACCCAGCTGATAATATTATCTCATTTTTGGGCCCATTATTTAAATATGCTTTGTGTTTATTGCCCAAACCATCTCTAAATACCACTCCATGTGCCAATGGCCTTTCCTTGCCTGCCCAAATTGTTGTTTTTTTTTATATATATATAATAATAAGAAAAAAAAAAATTGTTATTATTATTAGAAATAACAAAAACTATTTAAATTTGAATTTTTTTTATTATTTATAATTTGAAATATTTCAAAATTTCTCAATTTTTTTTTAATTATATACTTCATCTGTCCAAATTTATTGTCACTTTCTTTTTTTAGTTGTTATTTAAATTTATTCTTGTTTTTTTTTTAGTAAATTCTATTTTTTTTAACCCTAAAAAGTAAATAAAAATTATTTTTATTTATTTTTCTTAAAACTCGTATCCGATAAAATGAGCACACAATTGAATAACGGGATGACTACAATTTTTTCTATTCATAGAAATAGAAAAAATAGAAAAAAAAAAAATTTATTAAAATCGTACAACCTATAAAATAGTGTTAAAAGTAAAACAAGCAAAAGAAAAACAAACTCTATAAGTGTGTTTGCTTTTAATTTTAAAAATATTTTTACAGTTTTTCAATGTTATAAAAATATTATTCTCTCAAAAAAAAATTAAAATATAAAAAAAATAAATATTTTTATAATTTTTAATAACTAAAGAAAATGCCTCCAAATATTCTTAAATATTAAACAACACAGCATATAATTTATTCTATTAATTAAGTATATTATCTTAGAACATAATTATATATTATTCACAAAATAACATAGCATATAAAATATTTGTATTTATTATTAGTTTTTTTAATCAACTAAAAATATTATAATTTTCCTATTTAGTATTTATATTTTTTATTATAAAAAAAAAACAAAAATTAATAAATTCAAATTTGATAGCGGCTCATTTCAGGCAATATTTTTTTATAAACTAATTGTTATTGTGTGGTATAAAAAATTATGTATAAAATATAAAATATATTATCTCTGATCTAAAATAATATATGAATATTTAGGATGAACATGAAAATATAGTGGGTGTAAAAAAATATGATAGTTTTGTAAAAAAATTGAGAAATAGTTACCAAAATAGAAATGAGACTATGTTTCTGGACGAAGATGACAAAATAAGACTATTATTTTGGAACGAATGGAGTGTTATTTTAGATTGAATATTTTAATTTTTGTATAAAATATTATGTGTTTTTTATTACTTCATCTGTCCCTTAACAATTTATTTATTTTTTAGTTTATTCTGTTTCAAAGTATTTATTTCATTTTTTAATAATTGTACTATCTACTAAACATTACAAATACCCTTCAAATTTAAAATGTATTAGAAAAATGTCATTACTTTTATATCATACAATACTAATAATATTAGTTTAGTCTTTTTTACCTTTATTTTTACCTCGTGTAAATATAATACTAATATTTCTAAAATTCTATTGAAAAAATAAATTGATAGATCAATATATGACTATGGGTATTATTTTTGAAAAATTGCAATTAAAAAATTAGTGATGATAATACTTAACCTGCAATCAAACACGGGCGTGTTGAGGAATATATATATATATATATACACGTACCTTTGATTCTGAAGAGTATTTTATGAACAGAAGCGTGCAGCAGCACAGTGATTCCCTTAGCGTCGGCGTACTTGAGGAGGTCCGCTGCCGTGTGCCGCCGTCCCTCGCCGTCAAAAATGGTGCCGCCGACCTTCGTCCCCACCAAATGGTCGTACGTAAATCCATTATCAGGGTGGACGCCGCTCTCCACCAGCCCTTCCTTCACCGCCGACTGCCACTGCCTCATCGGCGGCCGGAACGCCACCACCTCCTCCACCCATCCGTACGACTCGTTCACGCGCCGCCCGTCCCACCCGGCGGCGTCCGCGTACCCCGGGGCGGCGCGTGTGTAGAATCCGGCGTTGATGCAGCTTCCGCCGCCGAGGACGCGGGCGCGTGCGTTTATAACGCCGTCCTCCGACACGAACCGCTGCGACGGCGACTCACCGGAGAGGTCGGAGAGGGCTTTTCCGAAGGCAGAGAGATCTGTGACGTTGGGGTTTCCGTACGGAGAGCCGCCGCGCTCGAGGAGGAGGACGGTGGAATTGGCGGAGAGCGTGGCGGCGAGGGGGCAGCCAGCGGTGCCGCCGCCGATTACGATGTAGTCGTAGTAGGAGGTCGCCGGAGCAGTCGTCGCTTCGTGGACAAATTCGTAATTTTGACCTTGTATGAAAATCCCACTTATACGGTTAAATTGTAGAAGATCCCGGACCCCCAACACCTTACTAAATCTAGACCGTTTATATTAAAAACAACGGTGTACGGTGACTTAGAAGTCAATGTCCATGGACCTCTTTAAAACACCATCCTTTCTAAATCAAGGGATTATATTTATATTTGATATATATTTATCTTTTTAGCATAACATTTTCGTTTATACTTAATATTAAAAATATTTTTATATTTATATAATTTTTTTAAATATTTTTTATTAGTATTATAAAATACTAATTGAAATATTTTTACAATTTTTTTTAAATTTGTATTATATTTTGATATAATAATTAATATTTAAATATCAATATACAAAAAATAAATAAAATCATTAAAGTCGGACGGATGTAGTAATATACTTTAGCATTTGTATTTTAATTTTAATTTAAATGATACTATTATATAAAAGATAACATATCCATAGTAGAGATAGTAAGAGAATTAAAAGAAAAAAAATATATATATGTGGAAAAAAAAAAGAGTGTGTTTGCCTTTACATTTTTTTTTTCTTTGTAATTTTTTTATTAGTTGTTGTTTCACAAACCAAAAATAAAAATTAAACTACCAAAAAAATATCGAAAAAGAACAAATCCAGTGTTCTATTTCAATATTTTTTATATGTACCATCGTAATTCTTTACAAAAATTAAATTACTCTTCTTTATACTATATCGCGTTGAAACTACAATTCAAAGTAAAATCAAACTCTAAAAGAACGCAAAATTACAAACCTGTTGGGGACGAAGAAGCGAGGCCATGGAAGCATACGGCAAAAAGAAAGACAAAAATCGGGAAAATTCCAACGCCCATTTTTTGTAAAATCTTTTAGTAGACACACAAGTGTTCGTATCGGGGTCAATCGAATTTCCTCAATATATGTATATATATATATATATGAAATTAATTAAGAATGTAAGATTAATTAATCTTGGACGAAAAAAATGATGTTGTGGGGTTTGAATGGGCGAGGAAGAAGGGAACTCAAGAAATATGTACAAAGTTTTTGGTGGCACATGCAATTTGCCACTCTAACTCATCTATATATATATATATATATAACATTTATTTATTTATTTATTTATGTATTTATTTAAGGACACTTCAATCCAACTAAGTTTGCAATTTAATGAAGCCTGAAATTTCGACATGAATGTTTCAAGATTTTGATGGGAAAATGCTATTTTCAACCATTATTTATGCATATGTTTACTTTTATTATACTCCATCCGTCGCACCACAATTAACACAATTTCTATTTTTGTATGTTCAGTAACAATTGATATTTTTCTATTTTTGGTAAAAATTATTAAATTAAAATATATTTAACAAATATAAATCAATTTAATTAACTACATAATATACAACATTATAAATGACGTAGGACCACTCAAAATCCCTTTATTTCTACCTCTCTCTCCTCAAAAAAATAAATATTTTTATCGATATTTAAAACTATACTATCATTTATAAAATTGATTTATGTTAATTATAAATTAACAAAAATATTTTTTTATTTACTTGTATTATATAGAAGATTTTATTCTCTACAAAATGATATTCATATTGCATATATTTTTTAATTTCTATATAATTTTTAAATATTTAAACATATATTTTAATTTTTTTAATCATATATATTAAGTTTATTTTGAAATTATAAATATTATTAATTATACAAAAAATAATATAATAATATCATAACTAATTATTATTAACTAATTAAACATCATCACCTTAAATACCATGTCTCTAATCAAATGATTCAATTACGGTGGAATGTATTTATTTTTTAATTTAGAAAATATGGTCCCATAATTTAATAAAATGTTCTTGCATGTCACCTAAAATTAGGGTCTAATTTATTCACAAAAAATAAATGCATATATATATATAGTAATATTTTGTTCTAATTTATGCATAAAAAAATAAATGGATATATATAGTAATATATTATTCTATCCGTTTCAACTAATTTGTCTCATTTAGCTTAGGCACGAAATTTTAGGTATTGTATAATTAATAAATAATTAAGAAGTGTATTAGTGAAAATAATTATGACTGCTAATTTACTGCTATTGATTTTAATGTCATCTTTTTTTTTTTGTTTTTTTTTTCTTTTTTATATTAGAAGAATGGGTGAAAAAAGAAATATATATATATATATAAGTAAAATATACATGTATGATTTTTTATTTTTTTTTTAATTGAAGTACAATTTAATATAATTTTAAAAAAAAAAAAATGGAAGCAAGAGGTGGTGTAGCCCCTTACCCCAAGGTAGGTCCAACTTTTCCCAAAATCATTATATATATATTTTTCTATAGCATGGAAATATGTAGTTGTTGTCATATGCGTTTTAAGTAAATCTTCGATCGAATCTAATAGCCTGTAAAATAGGTTCGATAAAACAAATAATTTTATGAGAATATATATGATATTATAGACAAAGAGTCTCATAAGCAGTTCTTTAGTGCGTATACGTAAATATAGAAAGTCCTTACAAAATTCGAGATTATTTAGTTTGTATACTACCCAAATCTCTAGAAAATCCGAGATCAACTTAGACAAGAGACTTTGATAAAATTATCGATCGGATTTAAAATGAGCACGATTATAAATTGAGATATGAAAAGTGAAAAAGTGGTCGAAATTAATCGAACGATAGTACAATCTTGTAACAATAAAAAGTTACTTATTTAATTTTCAATAAAGGCAACAATCATCGACCTAAAATTTTGACTTCATTAAGAAGTGGCACATGTTCAAGATATTTTCGATTTTTTTTAGAATGAGTTATGATATATTTTGAATGTGTTTTTGGAATTTTTGATTGATTTAAAAATAATGCTATCTTCGTCCGACTCTAAGGATTTCATTTATTTTTTGTTTGCTGATATTTGAATATTAATTATTATATGAAAATATAGTACAAATTAAGGAAGAATGACAAATATACTTCTATTAGTGTCTTATAATACTATTATAATGATATTTGTGCAAAAAAATTATACAAATATAAGAATATTTTTAATGTTAAGTACAATAACGTAAAAGATAAATATGATTCATAGAGCCAGACGGATGGAGTAAAATGTTGAAGAAAAATATTATGTTATATAAATAAAAGTTGAATGGGATGAATTAAAGTTGCTGTTGCGGTATTGAATTATCACATTAAATATAAATTTATAGCATATATATATATATATGGTTGTAGATCTTGTGTTTATCCGACCAAATTAGTATGATGTTGATTTGATTGGATCAGTATATATATACCATGTGAGTGACCAATATATATTTATACATATCTCAGCATATGTTGTTTTATAAAATAGCATATGTTGTTTTACTCCCTTCGTCTCATATATGATGTCAGGGTTACTGTAAACACAAAAATATACGAGGGGTATGACTAATAAATAATTAAAAATATATTAGTAAAATTAATTATAATATAATATAAATAATTATTGATTAAGATTAAGATAACTAAAAAAAATAAATTATATCCAAATTTTGATTTTGATTTGAAGTTGTATTTTTTATTTAAATTCTAAATTATATTTTGATATAATATTTTATAAGAAAAAATACTATAATTTATTGAAAACTGTACGACTAAATATTATTGATTTGACTTTAATATTCAAATCAAACACATCCAATGTATTCATTTTAAAATCAGCATTACTAAAAATTCGAATTAAAATAATATTTGGTATAATGTTTGAGATAGTCTAAATCCAAATCTTAAAAGAATTAGAAAAAAGAAAATCAAAACAACAAGAGGCATATATATATGCTTCAATTTTCTTTCGAGTCAAATTAGCATAGTATTTATTTGACCTGCACATATATATATAATAAACCGACGACACATAAATTACAACATAATAACATACTATCTCCGTCTGAATTTTTTAATATTAGTTATTATATCATAACGTAGTACAAATTAAAAAAAAAATTATAAAATACTTTTATTAGTGTCTTATAATATTAGTAGAAAGACATTTATACAAAAAAAAAATTATACAAATATAAGAATATTTTTAATGTTAAGTACAATGACGCAAAATAAAAATGTGACCCTTAGAAGCGGACAGAGATAGTTGATATTATGTGTTATAAGTTTTTTTTTATAAAAAAAAAAAAAATTACATCTTAGTAAAATATACTGCCTTAGTCCACTTAATAAGTTGATATTTACTTTTTGTATGTTAATTTTTTAATATTAATTATTATATTAAAATGTAATACAAATCATAAAAAATGACGAAAATATTTATATTAGTATCTTATAATAAAAAATATAAAATTTTATTAGTATCTTATATTATTACTTAAATACAATAACGTAAAAAGTAAATGTAAATTTATTAAACGTAGCGGATGGAATATACAATATAAATATTATTTTATACATAATAAAATTTTATATAATATAAATATATACTTGGTTAACATAGATTCATTATAATATATATATATATATATAAATTTGCGTACTAAAAAAGAAATAAAAATAAAATTTATTGAGTAGAGATGATATTTTCAAAATATTTGCTTATTTGATCGGCCCGAATTCATCTCACACTCGATTTGATATCTAAATAATTAGTTTTGATTTTAAATGTAAGTGAATTGTGTTCGGATCAGGTCTATTCAAGCCATTATCATTCCTAATTAATTTTAGGGCAAATTTATTTTTTAGTCCCGTAACTAGAACCCTTTATCATTTTAGTTCCGTAAGTGGAGCATGTCGCAAAATAGTCTCATAAGTGAAAAATTTTCGCTGTTTTAGTCCTCTGACGCCATAGACGCCCACGTAGCTCGCCGGAAGCCACGCGTCCGTCAGGTCAGTGATACATGACGGATACGTGAATTTTATTTTTTTTTATATTTTATTTGTCTTTTTTACCTTTTTTTTATTTGGTCCAATTGGACCAAATTAAAAAGAATTGGACCAAATAGCAAATACCATATTTGTTATTTGGTCCAATTCGTCCAAATAAAAATAAAAAAATGCAAATAAAATTTAAAAAAATTTTAAAATTCACGAACCCGGCAGGTGTAGTTGACCTGGCGGACACGTGACCTCCGGCGTGCCATGTGGGCGTCTCCAGCGCCGGAAGATTAAAACATTAAAAAATTTTCACTTATGAAACTAATTTACGACATGCTTCGTTTACAAGACTAAAATAATAAGGGGTTTCAATCAAGAAACTAAAAAAATAATTTATCCTTATGGTAAAATTTCAAATATATATATATATATATCCAATTGTAACTATCAAACCGTATCCACGTGCAAGGATATATAGATTGAGCTACGAGTATACAAATTAAATAATTAAATAAATAATGAATAAATAAAAATAATTAAATAAATAAATAAATAATCAGCCAAATTATTAGTTAGTAGGGTGGCCCTCACGATCATGTGTCAATTATTATTCCTATTTCATCACTACTTATATAAAAAGGTTGTCCCATTACTACTTTAATATAATCATCTTGTAATAATTATTTATTTTTCTACTTTTAAATAAATAAATATATATATATATATATGTATATATATTATGCATCAATAGCCACCTCTCTTTGTGTGTTTAACTCTATTTATCATTCCCAACTACTTCTTCGGTCACTTAACTTAGGTGTGGTTAAAAAGACAAAAAAAATTCGAATCTAATCGTCGAACCGAACTAAATACTTGATTAATTGAGGAAATTTGATTCAAATATAAATACTGTGCATTTGATATTTATTCGGTTCGATTAGATTTGAATTTTTTATTTTTTTTATTAATCGAACTGAATATATTTATATTGTTGTATTTTAAATTTTATAGTAATAATTATATCATATTTGGATTCGATTCAATTTGGTTTAATCGGTTTGAAATATTTGTATTTAATACAGATAGTTGTTATTTAAATACAAAATATGAATACAAATCAAATGCATTTTAGAATTTTATTATAATACAAATAAATAATATGTATTTAATACTATCTCCGCCGGCTCTAAGGATCCTATTTATATTTTGTGTATTGATATTTGAATATTAATTATTATATCAAAACGTAGTACAAATTAAGAAAAAATTGCAAAAATAATATAAAAATATAAAGATATTTTTAATGTTAAGTACAATGACGAAAAAGGTAAATGTGATCCTTAAAGACGAACGGAGAGAGAATAATTTAATCTTGTGAAAAGGAAAGGATTTGTTTGGTTAGTTTTGGTATATTGTTGTGTTTTGAAATAATAAAATTTTTTAATTGTAAAAATTGTTAGATGTGATATTTTGAATATATTATACTCGCTCCATCCAGTTAGAAAGTATACATGTTTCTATTACAAAGTAAATATTTCATTAAATACCTCACTTTTTTTCCATAAATACCCTTACTTTACATCATATCATTACTTTTACACCAAAAAGTAATAGCAAAAATATTATTACACTACTTTTTATTACTCACTATAATTAAAATACTATTATTTTTTAAACACCGCACCAAAAGTAAATGTATACTTTATGTATGGACGAAGGGAGTATTTAAACATAGTCTAAATTTCACCATATATTAAATAGTAAAATATTAAATTGATATACATACCCTTTTGATTTGAAATATAAAATAAAGGTGTGTTTCTTTGGATGAGTTTGAAAAAAATTTGGTTTGAGTTTGATATGAAAATACTATTTGATGGGATGTTTTGTGAGAGGAAAAAATATATTTTTTTTTCGAAAAATACATAGTCCAAATAATAAATTTGGGAAAATTTTGCAAAAGAAACATACCATAGTTTATTAATCTGACTAGTAAATTAATATACCGGAAAATACAGCCCGAAAAAAAAGCCCAATCCATTAAGAGATTTTGCCTATGGCCTCTATCCGTCGGGTGGAAAGAATTCGGGCTGATCGAAACGTATATGTAAGCTCCGTTTAGAGATATATTTTTTTGAGACTTTTGAAATTTTGAAAATAAAAAATAAATATTTGATTTGATATTTTGTTAAAATAAAAATATTTAATATAATAATTTCAAAAAATAAATAGTATAAAATGTGTGAAACGAAGCCTAAGGCTGCGTTTGTTTGTTTGTTTTTTTGGTCGGGGTTTAAGCCTGTTTAAGTTGGCTTGTTTCAGAGACTTTTGACTTCTACTTAAAAAAAAAAAAGTGTATATATATACATTACATCTATTTGTATTGATTTATATCCAAAAGTATAAATAATTTTTTAAAATAAAGAGAGTAATATAATATAAAATCAATCATTTTATATTTTACATTTTAATTAAAATTTAAAAATACAATTGTATTTTATTTATATATTTTACTTAAACTAAAATTTAAATATCAAATTTAAAGAAATTGTTATATATACTAACAACTTAAAATTATTAAATATGATTTATAGAATCTTATAATAAATTATAAAAATACAAATAACGGAAGAACGTCGAAAAAGAAAAAAAAAAGGCTTGATTAGGTATTTTGTTTTTAACTTATATACTATTTTTAAATTAAAATTTTAAAATATAAAATGACCAAATTTTAAAAAATATAGTTTTTATACTATATAATTCAAAAAATAGATATAATTACTGAAATTTAAAGTAAATTATAGAGGCTTTATAAAAAATATATATAATTATATTAACAAGTTTTTTTTTAATAATTTTCACAATTTAAAGACAATAAGAAAAATAGCATTTTTGTAAGAAAAAATTTGTTATCACAAAATTTATTTTTTTTCGTTACTAATTACATTAAAGACGAATTTTATTAAATTCCATTCTTAAAGTTATATCGTTCGTCCCTAATTTTCGTTATAAATATGTTATTTTTTTTAGAGTAAATATGTTATATATTTTGAATTTTGATCTGTATTTTTTATTATATAATTATCGTAATTTTATACTTCTTTCGTTACAAACACTTTTCAATATTTTTTAAAAATTTATATATATAATATTATACTTTATCTCATCATATCACCAAATATATATATATATGCAAATCTCTGGTCTCATTATCTAATTTTAAATTATTTTACTTAATATTATCTACATTATCCATCTTTAAAAACCAAATTAAATATTACATCATGTTTAAAACCAAAAATAAAATATAAAAATATAATTTTTTTTCTTATAAAAATAATAATAATAAAATGAAAAAAATCACACACACACACACACACAATCAAATTTGACCATAGTTAAACACTACAACACCATAATTAGAAAACTTGAATTCCAACCAATGAAACATTTTTGGGCCCAAATATAAGATTGGGCTAATACATTAATAAAAATCCATTATAAGAACAAATCTTTTCAAAATACTATTAAAATATGTCACATTTAAATGTATATATTTCGTATTTTTAAAAAAAATAATCATATATTAATACCGAAATATTTTTTTTACCATCTTTGTATATCATATTTCAAAGTATCCATTAGTTAAATTATAAATATACAATACATTATATATCTAATCACTTTATACATAAAGTTAAATAATAAAAATATTAAAAACTCTTACACAGAACACTGATTAATAAATTTTTACTCCCTCCTTCCCAATATTTACTATTTTTATCCATCCCAAAATAATAGTCTTATTTCCATAAATAATCATATCACCGTAAAACTACCCCTTTTTTTTATTACACAATTGTCGTTACTTTTTATACTAATATACTCACAAGGGCAAAAAAGTATTTTATTCATACTTTTTACCGACTACCAATATAATATCAATACTCCTTAAATCTCGTATCCAACGCAATAAAACTATACTTTTGGAACGGAAAGAGTATTATTTCTTAATCTACTACAAAACCTCAAATCACACCTTTGGTTTGGGAGGGATGAAGTATATTAAAACTAAAAGTTTAAAACACACAACAAATACTTTTGAATCTATTCTTATTTACATCGACATCATTATATTAAATTAAAATACTATAATATAATGACAAAAAAAGAAAACCTTAACACAAAAAGTGGTAAAATATTAGCAAAATACTACTATTAAATTCTTGTCGATTCTCTTCTTGTCAAAATGAGTAACTCCATAGCTCCACCTCAGCATCGCTCTCCACGTCATCGCATCCGTACTCACCGTCAAAGCACGGCGGCGGTGACATCAGCACATCCCCCTCCGCCGCCGCCGTCGCCGTCGCCGCCGCCGCCGTCCCCTCCTCTTCATTCATATAAAACACATCCTTCCAACTCCCCCCGTCCGCCGCACTCCCGCCGGCCTCCTCCGCCGCCTCCGCCACGTCAGCCTGCCGGAAAGCCTCCGCCGCCTCCACCGCCGCCCTACGAATTTCGGCGGGGTCATTCGACGCCGGCGCCGGCAGCCGCCACACCGAGTCGGCGAAATTAAGGCAAGCGTTCTGACCCCTCAGTGCCAGCGCCGCCACGTCGTGCGCACGCGCCGCCATTTCTGGAGTCGGGTAGGTCCCCAGCCATATCCGCTTCTGCTCCGTGGGCTCCCGGACCTCGCAAACCCACCTGTCGGCGTTCCGCCGCCGCACGCCGCGGTAGACCGGGTGGCGCGTCTCCTTGAACTTCTTCCGGCCGGCTCGCTTCTTCGGCCGGCTCGCCGCCAGTATCACCTCCTCGTCGGAATGCGACCGCCCGAACGAGCCGAGCCGATTAGCCGCCGCCGCCGGAGATTCCATAGCCGTTAGGATCGCCGAAATTAAACCTCTCAAAATCGAAAAATTAACGTTGTGGGAAAGTTGGATCAGATGTCGGAATTTGCGCGAAGAATTTATAATTTTTGGCGGGTGAGAGAATTTGACACGTGCGTGTCCGAAGGAGACACGGATTACCTAGAGGATGCCAGTCTGGCATTTATGAACGTGCTCTAACTTTTTTATTGTTTTTATTTATGATGTCATTTCAATGGTAGCGGTAACGCACAACATTAATTATGAATTCGTTACAATTATATAATTAATTATTCATTCCTTCGCCTCTAAAATATCATTTATCTTTTGCATCATATTATTATATTTATATAATTTTTTACACAAATTATAATAATTACGTAGAAATAAATAAAATCTTTAGAATCTTCTGACAAAAAAATATTTTTTAATCGTTCACTAAATTTATGTATAATTTCCTTTTAGTAAATAATTTTATTCTTTTTACTCTAATTAATACGGCCATTTTTGTATTCACTTTATTATATTTATCTATATTTAATAAATATATATTTTTAGTTTACTTTTTACTTACTATATTTTTTTTTTTTTAGTATAGATTCCATACTGAATATTCCAAATCTAAAATGTTGATAGTTAATCTTTACTTTTAATTTATAAAAATGTTTAAGTGACTTGATTAACTTTATTTAATTAATGAATTGATTAATTGATATTTTATGTATGATGTACCATTGTAACAAAATTATGATTACTTATTAAAACATGTAGTATATTCATTTCGTCTCAATATAATAGTCTTATTTACCATTTATATCCGTCCCAAAATAATAATATCATTTTCATAAGTAATCATATCACCATAAAAGTACTCGTACTTTTTCATTATTATTACACAATTGTCACTGTTTTTTATACTAATACACTCACAATGACAAACAAATCTTTTACTCATATTTTTTACCAACTATCAACATAGTATCACTATTCTTTAAATCTTCTATCCAACACAACTAAGACTATAGTTTTGGAACGGAGGGTCCTTCTAGCTAGAAAGTATAGATATTTCTATTTTGGGACGTCTAATTACAAAGTAAACATTTCATTAAATACCTTACTTTTTTTCACAAATACTCTTACTTTTTACATCACATCATTATTTTTACACCAAATAGCAAGGGTAAAAATATCATTACACTACTTTTAACTACTAACTATAATTAAAATACTATTATTTTTTAAATATAACGTCAAAAGTAAATATGTATATTGTAAGTGGACGGAGAGAGTATTTAAGTAGATGGAAAAAGATTGATATTATTATAATATAAGCATAAGTTTTGAGAGACAAACTTAAATAAAATTTAAGCATAAATTTAGTGAAACTTGGAGTAATATATTCTTTAATAAAAATTAAATATTAATAATTCATTATTTATAGTATAATACAAAAATATCTCCAATAATAAAAAACAACCAAACTTTTAATGTATATATATATTTTTTTATTTTCGATGATATTTTAGTGAACCTATTTATTGGATTTTTAATTAACTATTCATCCCATTTTTTTTCTTCAAAAATATCAAATCAAACACCTATTTTTTATTTTTTATATTATACTAAAAATCAAATTTACATTCAAAACATCATATCAACACCTATTTACATCACATCGTACAACTATTCAAATTCAAAATTTTTACTATTCAAACCCCAACTCAAAATTCAAACCCCCAAACAAACACACCCTAAATGGATGTAGATAGCTTGGATACATAATAGAGTGCGATTAAGGTGTTGATTATAATTAATTAGTATTGTGTTAATTAATTTAAATCAGTATATAATTATAATTTTATCAGTATCTATTGAGTAAATTATTATCGTGCGTTATTAGTCCATATCATACAATTATGTTGTGCGAACATACACTTTTTACTGAGATTAATCGTGTTAATTAATTCTAATAAGCTCATGACTTAAATTAAGTTATATGATGTATTGTGTGAAATGTTATTATATGTTGTTAGTTCATATTATATACTCCCTCCGTCTACACACAAACAAAGTAAACAATTATTTTTTGGCGCGGTGTTTAAGAAATAATAGTATTTTAATTATAATGAGTATTTAAAAGTAGTGTAATGACATTTTTGTCCATGTTTTTTGTGTAAAAGTAATGATGTGATGTAAAATAGGGGTATTTGTTGAAAAAAATGAGGTATTTTTAATGAAATATTTACTTTGTAATTGGAGGTCCGAAAATATAAATATGTATACTTTCTAACTGGAGAGAGAGGGAGTATTTGTGTTGTGTTAACATACATTTTCTATTGAGATCATCATAATATATTGTATAAACTATTAGTACCTCCGTCCCACAAACCGTGTTTGCTACACTGTAGACACGGTATTTTAGGAAGGGTGTAATTAGTAGATAATTATGAATGTATTAGTGAAAATAATTATCCGATAATATAAATAATTATAAATTAAGATTAAGATAACTAATTAGTTTAATTAAATTTTTTTTAAAAATAAAATTAAAAAGTTTAAAATGAGATTAAAGTGTGTAATCATATTCCAAAAAAGGAAAGTGACATGGTATATGGGACGGACAGAAACGACAACATAAACATAATATGTGGGACGGAGTATTATATTTTGTTAGTTTATACTATATAGCGTGTGTTCTTTTATCCAATTACTATTATTCATTTTAAAAAAAAATTATCTTACAATATCAAATCAAATATTTTTTATTTTTGATATTATACTAAAAATTAATTTTACATTTAAAATATCACATCAATACATATTTATATCATATCGTACAACTATTCAAAATTCAAACCAAAAGTCAAACCCCCAAACAAGTGGAAAAACTAGTCTCTGAACTTTGGAGGGCTTAATGTCGATTTATTTATGACCGATTTAAAAATATAATACTCCCCATTCCCACATTTATGTCTATATTGCAATTTTAGAGTCTGTTTACATAGAGGTTTTTGGAGTTTTTTGGAATTTTGAAAGTTTTGAAAAAAATAAAAAGTTAGTATTTGATTTGATGTTTTGTGAGAGAAAAAATATATATGATGTATTATTTTTTGAAAAATGAATAGTGCCAAATGAGTGAAAGTGTGTTGTGTAAACAGAACCTTACTTCGTCTCACGTTTCGTATCTCTTCTAAAATATATATTACATATTTTAATCATATTTTAAATTTTTTAATATTAATGTTTTTTTTAATCGTAATTAGAATAATCAGTTATATTAATTTTAATTTGTAATTAATTATATTGTCCAATAATTATTTTTACTAATATATTTCTCTATTATTTGCTAATTATGTTATTTGTAAAATCACGTATATACCGTACATAAGACAATTAAAAAAAAGTGGGACGGAGGGAGTATAATTATATATATAAGAAATTATTATTACACTAAAAAAAATTGTGAACACTAAAGAAATAAATAGGTTTGTTCAATAAAGAAACCTCTAGGCCTTCGGGTCTTGTCTGTTACACATGGTTAGCCTAATGTAATTTACATGTTCGGCTAAAGGTTTATCTATAGCACATCAGGAATGTAGCGGTTGTAGATTCTCACGTTATAAAAAAAAATAATAATAAACACACATATATTGATGCAATATATATAATACATACTACTTCTATCCGTATCTAAGGGTCATATTTATCTTTTATGTGTTGATATTTGAATATTAATTATTATATCAAAACGTAGTATAAATTAAGAAATATTTACAAAAATACGTTCATTAGTGTCTTATAATACTAATAGAAAAACAATTATACAAATATAAAAATATTTTTAATATTACATACAATGACCCAAAAAGTAAATGTAACCCTTAGCGACGGACGAAAGAAAAAATTTATTCACTCACAAAAGTAAAAAATTCAACATAAATTTTTTTGTTTATATACTAACCACAACTTTTGATATCTAAGTATAAAAAATACATCTGTCAAAAAATACAAAGTAAACAAACTAAAATTTTGGGGACTTTGTATGTTTGGTATTAAAATATATTTTGTATTTAGATCAAATATGACATGTATTATACCTTCTATATGCTACATTTAATTTATTTGGATCCGACATGAGAATTAAGAAAAATTTTTTATTAAGAAAGTGAAAAAATAAAGAAAATTAAAATATTTTTAGAACTTTAATTAGTAATTAAAGAGAAAGAAAAAAAAGTCTTAATAAAGTTATTAATATTTATTATAAATTATTACTCCCTCCGTCTCGATACAATAGTCTTGTTTACCATTTTTATCCGTCCTAAATCAATATTTTCATTTCCATAAATAATCATATCACTATAAAATTATTCATATTTTTTCATTATTATTACATAATTGCCACTACTTTTTATACTAATATACTCACAGGGGCAAAAAAGTCATTTATTCTTATTTTTTATTAACTACCAATATAATATCAATATTCTTTAAATTATGTGTCAAACATAATAAGACTATATTTTTGGGATGGAGAGAGTATTATATACTTGATTATGGCTAATCATAATCGTAATTAGTGTTAGCAATTACTCCCTCCGTCTCACATAATTTGTCCATATTTTATATTTTCGTTTGTCTCACATAACTTGTCATTTCTATTTTTGAAAATATAATTATACATTTTAATCGCATTTTAAATTTTAAATTTTATAATTTTCTTAATTTTAATTAAACTATTTACTTATCTTAATCTTAATTTATAATTATTTTTACTAATACACTTCTTAATTACTTACTAATTATACTGTACCTAAATTTCCGTGTTTACAGTAATACACCCATATTACATTATGGGACGGAGGGATTATTATTATTATTATTATTATTATGTGCAATATGACGTAGAAAACGTGTCAAATGAGGCCCATCTTATTAATAAATTAATTTTGAAATTGACACAAACCCTTCTCTAAATAGTTTTTTTAATAGTCAAATAATTAAAGTGGCAGACAACTGTAATTAAATTAATTAAATTTTAATGTCACACTTTATTTAATTATTGACTATT